GACGGGGAGGATAAACAAATAAGTGTCAGTCAGAGCCCTGAGGGAAGAGACGCCTGACAGATGTTGAGAGAGAACATCCCTGACACAGAAGTCACATGTCGCTCACCGTGGACACTCTCAGAGTCTATTCTGCATTGAGATGCGAAACCCAGATCTCGCCCAGGCCTCCGCGGTGGTCACAGAGCACACGCAGAACAGTAACCAGCAGTGTGCTTGCCATGAACGTGGCACCTGTCACTTCAGGTTTGAAAAATACGAGCTCAGCCCTGGCCGGTTTGGCTCAGCGGTTAGAGCGTCGGCCTGCGGTCCAGAGAGACCCGGGTTCGGTTCCCGCTAAGGGCACGTACCTCGGTTGCAGTTTGTCCCTGGCCCTGGTTGGTCGTGCGGGTGGCAGGCACTTGATGTGTCCCTTTCACATCGATGTTTCTCTCTCTCTCTCTTCCTCTCTCTCCCTCCCACTCTGTCTGTACAAAAAATGGAAAAATGTCCTCAGGTGAGGATGAAAAATAAATAAATAAATAAATAAATAAATAAATAAATAAATAAATAAATAAATAAATGAAAGAAAAATACGGGCTCAGGCCCAGCCGGTGTGGCTCAGTGGGTGAGCATCCACCCATGCGCCAAGAGGTCGCTGGTGCGATTCCCGGTCAGGGCACATGCCCAGGTGGTGGGCCACATACCCAGTGGGGGGCATGCAGGAGGCAGCCAATCGATGTTCTCTCTCATTTCCATCTCTCTCCTTCTCCCTTCCTCTCTCTAAAAAATCAATAAAGAAAAAATATTTTAAAGAAAAATAAGGGCTCAGGCTCCTGGCGTGGACAAGGGGAAGTGGGGTGGGCTGCTGTTAGTTTCCCAGGCTTGCCATAACAAATGACCAAACTGAGTGGCCTGAAAAAGAAAGAAATGTATTCACTGTGACCATTTCTAAGTGCACAGCTCAGTGGCATGAAGCACATGCACACTGTTGTACAACCATCACCTCCTTCCGTGTCCAGAACTTTTCCCTCACCCCAGATAGAAACTCTGTGCTCTTTGAAGACTCCCTCCCCATTCTCCACCTCCCCAACCCCGATGGCTCTAATCTGCTCTCTGTCTCTGTGAGTTTGACTACTCTCGGTACCTCACGTAAGTAGAATCAGAGTATTTGTCCTTGTGTGTCTGGCGAATTTCACTGAGCATCATGTTTTCAAGGCTCAAATAAACTCTCGTAAAAAGTCAGAAGTTGGCCCTGGCTGGTTTGGCTTAATGGTTAGAGCATTGGCCCGTGGACCAAAGACTTGCAGGTTCAATTCCAGTCAAGGGTGCATACCTCAGTTGTAGTTCAGTCCTCAGTCCTGGCTGGGGTTGTGCGGGAAGCAACCAGTCAATGTATCTCTCTCACATGGATGTCTCTCTCTCTCTCTCTCTCTCTCTCTCTCTCTCCCTCCCACACTCCCTCCCACTCTATCTGAAGATAAATGGAAAAAAAATATCCTCGGGTGAGAATTTTTTTAAAAGTCAGAATTTGCCCTATTTGGTGTGGCTCAGTTGATTGGGCGTCATCCCGTGCACTGAAAGGTGGCCTGTTCGATTCCCAGTCAGGGCACATACCCCAGACGTGGGCTCAATCCCCGGTAGGGGGCGTGCAGGAGGCAGCCGATCGATGTTCTGCTCTCACATCAATGTTTCTCTCCCTCTCCCTCTCCCTTCCTCTCTCAAAATCAATAAAAATATTTGGAAAAAGAAGAAGAATTTCATTTCCTTTTTATGGCCAAATAATATTCCATTGCATGCATATACCATATTTTGTTTCTTCATCCATCTGTTGAGGGGCACTTAGCATCATGAATAACACACTGAGGACTCGGGTGTACCCTCTCTGTTGCAGCCCCTGTTTCCATTCTCACTGGATACATAAGTAAGAGTGGAATTACTGAATCATAAGGTCATTCTGTGTTCAACTTTTTAAAGAACTGTTTCGCACAAACTGCTTTTCACACCAATCGCACCCTTTACATTTCCACCAGTAATGCACTAGTTTCCAATTAGTCCACATCCTCATTGACACTTGTTTTCTGTTTTTCAGTAACGGCCTCCCTAGACAGTAGAAAGCACGGCTTTGATTTGCTCCAGGCCACTCTGTAGTTGGGGACTCTCTTTGTAACGCACCATTGTTCGACTTGATTCTTCACACACTTGCTTCTCTCCTGTCCCATGACCAGCTGACTCAGCTCCCATCTTCCAACTCAAAACCCATCAGCTTACCCTGGCCAGTTTGGCTCAGCGGTTAGAGCGTTGGCCTGCAGCCCAGAGAGACCCAGGTTCGGTTTCCACTGAGGGCACGTACCTCGGTTGCAGTCTGTCCCCGGCCCTGGTTGGGTCACGTGGGTGGCGGCTACTCGATGTGTCCCTTTCATGTCAATGTTTCTCTCTCTCTCTCTCCTCCTCCCTCTCCCTCCTGCTCTGTCTGAACAAAAAATGAAAAAATGTCCTCGGGTGAGAATTAAAAAAAACAAAAAAACATAGGCTTAGCCATGCCTATGGACCGATTCTTTTTTTTTTATCCTCATCCGAGGACATTTTTTGCATTTATCTTCAGATAGAGCTGAAGGGAGAGAGGTGGGAAGAGAGAGAGAGAAACATCGATGTGAGAGAGACACATCGACTGGTTGCCACCCACACAACCCCAAGCAGGGCCGGGGACAAACAGCAACCGAGGTACATGCCCTTAGCCACTAAGGCTTAGCGGGAACCGAACCCCAGTCTCTCTAATCCACAGGCCAATGCTCTAACCGCTGAACCAAACTGGCCAGGGCTGGACTGATTCTCTGTAGGTCAGCTGTCTACAGCTGGTCTCATAGGCTCTGGACAGGGGGAGGAGGGAGGCAGTCCGAGGGCTTCCCTTTCCAGGAATGTGCCAACGTCACGTTCTAGATGGCGTGGTGGGCCCGGGCACGGTGCCAGGCAGAAATCACAAACTCTGTAGCTTGGTCCTGAGGCACTGGCCCCCAGAAATGTCAAATTGTCACACACCAGGATTGAAGCCATCTCTTACAAACAAACTCAAGTTAATGAAGGTCGGCGTCCACGGGGAGGCTAACAGAATCTTTTTCCGACTGTTTCTTTATTCGTTCACAGTAAGAGTATTCACTCACAGGGGCCAGGAGCACAGCCTGCCTGTCCAGCAGATCTGCGCAGGCTCTCCCAGTAGCCACGCCCCCCCGAGAAGCCAAGTTTTAATCCAAAAGTGTAGTGAGGGTGGCAAGGGGAAGCAGGGACCCAACCTAGGGACCATGAGGTGGGACACCTTCCCCCGCCCAGGGCCAGGGCAGTTTGACCAATGGCTGGCTTTTTGTTTCTTTTAATTTATGCTCTTGGATGGCAGCTTTCAACAACGTGGCGATACTGATGCCTCCTGAGGATTTCATGGGAACCATGGAACCGCTGTCCGGAAATTCCACATCCACACACAGTTTCGTATTCGGTTCGGTGGGTTTGAGACAATGCCATGTGTCCAGCTCCATTCTCCTTTCCCCCAGCACGCAGGGACATGAGGTCTGCCAGCCTTCCCCGCGTGTGGTGGGAACACATGACTGAGTCTGGCCAGTGAGCTGACAGCAGAAATGTAGGACACCACTCCCAGGCCTGACCCTGAACCTCCCTCCCTCTCGACCACTCTGTCCCTCTGTCCCTGCTGGCCAGATGTGCCGGGGAGGACGCCAGGCCCCAGGGGACGGCAGGACAAGCAGAGGGGGCACCTGGGCCCTGAATGACTGTGGACCAGAGCCTCCCACCGGCAGCCAGCCTGCTCTGCACTGTGCTGTGGGTAAGACGTGGACTGTGGGAAACCAGTGGACTCCAGGGCTCTTTGTTACAGCAGCTAGACCACTCCGACCAACACGGCCCTGCAGGCAGCCGTCCGCCAAGCCCCTCCCTCCTGCTCACCAGCCCCGATTGTATCCACACCGGACAGTTTCACAGTTTAGTGCCACCTCTCCATCCTGGGAACACAGCACGGGTGCCCAAACTTCGATCACACATTCACACACACTCTTGGCCGACTCTCATGATGGTAACCATGTGTGTCATGCTGACGCCGCTTGAGGTCAACACGAATCCCTGTGTGACCTTGGGGGTGTCACTTGACCACCCTGTGTCCAACTGTTTTCATCATGGTACTGTTCCTGCCCTGACCGCGCCATGCATGTTCGAGCCCGTCCCGGAGCCTGGAGGGCCGTGAGCTGGGGCGTCCCCCTCCTGGCAGCAGCGTCTGCCTGTCACACGGGCGCTCTCCCTTGGGCGCGCCCTGCCCAGTGGGGCCCGACCTGAGCACTCTGCAGCTGCAGAGGATGCTTCTTTCCCCTGCACCCCCAGCTGCGCCCCAGCCTCTGCCGGAGGACTCGACATGCCCTGGATAGGGCTGTCCAGCAGCCACTCCGGGAGTCTCAGCCCCTACATCCTTGTCATGGACTCTCTGGCGTTTACTTTCCTCTTTGTTTCATATAAACACTCTTCTGACTGAGGCCAACCCTGTGTCCATAGAAACGGGAGTTTTCTGGGGGAAAGGTGAGGGCGGATTGGGGTATGAGCCCAGGAGGCCCATCCGCCCCTCCGGTGCTGCCCTGGGTCGAGAGCCAGGCAGGAAGCTCTTAAGAGGGTTGCTCAAGAGCAGAGGAAGCCCAAGAGGCCTGGGGTAGGGGCGGGAGGGATCGCTCTGGCTGCCCTGGCCCTGCCTCAGTTTCCCTCCCATAGCTCAGAGAGATGGGGCCAGGTGTGGGGGCTCAAGAGCCTCCTGGTTGGAGGAAGCCGGGTGTCCAGGCCGGGAGTTTGAGCAGGGGCAAAGGGAGCAGGAAGGACGTCAGGGAGGGGGGCACGCTGGAGTGTCACTGCTTGGAAAAGTGGGATCAAATCACCTGAAGGGCTCTCCAGGACAAAGGCAAACAGTGAGGTCCCCACAGCCTCGCCCGCGGCTATAAGGGCCCTCACCTCAAGCAGAGTGTCCAGGAGGTGGAGGTGCCATGGCCAAGTCACTCCTGCTGCTGTGGCTGCTGCTGCTGCTGCCCATACTCCGTGGCCCAGGTGCAGGTGAGTCTCCCCAGCTTCTCCCTCTCGCCCACCTGGGGCCAGGTGTTGAGGGGCATCCAGACCGTCTCCACCGCTTCCTGAGCCCTGGCTCTGTGCCCGGCGTTTCCCTAGTCTGCCCATGACCCTCCTTTTAAAGATGAGGGAGCTGTGGCTCAGTGAGGCCCCTGGGCTTGTCCCACCTCGCACAGCTGGTGGGCACTAGGGCAGGGGGACCCCAGAGCTGTCTGACCCCGTCATGTTTCCTGGCCATGCATGACCAATAAAACCAGCTTGGATTGGGTGAGGTCAGGGTGCCAGGTGTGGCTTGGATCCCAAGGTTGTTCTGGCCCCAAACAGAAGCTGTAGGGACCACCTCCTCCCCGGCCTGTGCCCAGGGCCCCGAGTTTTGGTGCCAAAGCCTGGAGCAAGCCTTGCAGTGCAGAGCACTGGGGCACTGCCTGCAGGAGGTCTGGGGACACGCGAGAGCCGTGAGTACCCCAAGGACGCACGGGGACGGAGGTCTGGGCGTGCTGGGTGGGCTCTGGATGGGTTTGGGGGTTGGAGCCCCCAGGGATAGGGTGGGTTGGGGGGGATGGGGTAGAATGCGATGGTGGGCAGTTGCCTGTGCCTGAAAGAGCCTCACCTACTTGAGCTGGGGGCACGCCATCCACTCACGCCCCCCCCCCGTGGGCCCCCTCCCTAGGATGACCTGTGCCAGGAGTGCAACGACATCATCCTCATCCTCACCAAGATGACCAAAGAGCCCGTGTTCCAGGTGATGAGGCCCAGACCCTAGGTGAAGGTGGGGGGCCCAGAGATGGACAGAGCAGGAAGAGGTTAGCCCCTTAAAGGTCCATTTCCAGGGCAAGGGTAGGCCTGCGGGCCTGGGGCCTCCAGGCACCTGCTGCAGGGGAGGTCTCAGGAGCAGCTCAGCAGCACAGCCAAAGACGGCTGTTCCCGAGGGGACGGGGCCCACCCTGTGCCCAACTGCTTAACTCGTGTCCTGGGAAAAGGGTGGCCCTGTGTGCAGGGGCAGCAGCAGAGGCTGACCGTCCCCTCTCCATCCTCGCGGCTCCCGTCTGCCTCCCAGGGCGCGATGCAGAAGCTCCTGGAGCGCCAGTGCCGAGCCCTGTCCCTGAAGCTGCTGGTGCCCCAGTGCCAACGCGTGCTCGTCGCCTACCTCCCGCTGGTCATCGACTACTTCCAGAGCCAGATCGTGAGGGCCCCCCACCGCCTGCCCACACAGGCCCCGATACCCACACACAGCACCCCAGCCCGCCACACACATCACACGCACAGAGAGCCTGCACAGCCGGCCCAGGGAACTCAGTGCCCCTCAGCCAGGTGCCCAGCCCTAACGCTGACCCTAACCCAGCTCCCTGTCCCGTCTGCTCAGCTGTACACGGTGGGCCCGCACACCTGCACCACCACACACACCCTTACACCCTTCACACAAACACACGCCCGGTCACACGCTCATATACACCCTCAATCTCACGCACAACCCAACCATTACACACACACACGCATTACACACACTCACACACGCATTCATTCTCACGAACGTGCCTGCTCACGCTCACGCTCACGCACACACGTTGCCAGGCCCCTGCCGCAGAGTTCCCACGTGGCCCCATCTCCGCCTTGCTGTCTGCCCACCTCCACCACAGTCTCCAAAGCACAGCCTGCCCTTCCCCCTTCGAGGCCCAAAGACAGTGGCCTTGGGCCAGCCTCAGCAGGAAGGGTTCCCTCCCCACCCTAACCACCCCTCACCCTGCCTCGTTCCCCAGAACCCAAAGGCCGTCTGCAAGTACCTGGGCCTGTGCCAACCCGGGCACCCAGAGCCGGGGCAGGGGCCAGAGCTGTCGGAGCCCCTGCTGGACCACCTGGTCCTTCCTGTTCTGCCTGGGGCCCTCCAGACCCTGCCTCAGACACAGGTGAGAAGCCCCACACACCAGACAGCTGGGCGTCCGCAGAGCTAGGACACAGCTGAGGCCCGTGAGTGCCTGGGCCCGCGGTGGGGCGAACGGGAGGGAAATGAGCAGCTGCAGGCTGGGCCTGGGGCAGGAGGGCAGAAGAGGGGCAGAGCCTGGAGGATGCCTTCTCCGGTGCCCAGCCCACCTCCCCCTGCCGTTCTCTCCCCTAGGATCTCTCTGAGCAGCAGTTCCCTATCCCCCTGCCCTTCTGCTGGTTCTGCAGGACTGTGATAAAGCGGGTGCAAACTGTGATTCCCAAGGTGAGGCCCCCCACAGCTCCACCTTCCCCCACCGCTCCTCATACCCCTCCTCACAGCCCCAGGGGCCGCTAGCTGCCAGAAGTCAGGGGAGAGCCGTTGGTGCAGTGCCCCCACCCCGGGGACCCCGGCGCGCAGGCTCAGGCCCGGTAGGCGGCAGGCCTGGAGTTCACTCGGCCAATGTCAGTCCCCAGTGCACCCCAGGCAGGTGCGAGGCAGGTGTCGAAGCACAAAGTAGACGAGACCCAGTCTTGTCTCCAGCAGCTCAGCACCTGATGGAGGGAATCCCCGTGGTCTCCGTGGAACGGGTGCTTTAGTTTTTCACAAGGAGAACGTCCACGGGTGGACTCCCCCCCACCTGGGCCAGACCTGGAGTGGCCATCGCCCAGGCTGCCCTGCCCTGAAATGGGGCCCCAGTGAGGAGAGGCTCTGCCCCGCCGGCCCTTCCTAGAGAGGCAGGCCCTCCGGTCACCGAGGGCTCACAGCAGCACACGAGGTCCCTGCAGTCCCGATTCTGCATTGCGGCGGAGAGCTTTTTTTCAGAAAGTGAGAGGTGCAGAGCAGAGAATTGGAACAGGTGAGGTGAGCAGCTCTCCGCCCCTCGAGCAAGCCCCTGAGTCAGCCCTGGCCTCGGCTCTCCGCAGAGCCCCACCCTCGTCCCGCACAGGCGGCTTCCTTTTCAGCATTTCTGCTCCAAGGTTTCCCGTCGGGTGGGCAACTGCGGCGGGTGTCCAGGCAGGGGTCGGGGCCAGCTTGCACGTTTAGGATGCTGGCTGGTGAGAGAGGAGGTGGCAAGGGTCGGACTCTGAGCAGGAGACTCTGGGACCAAATCTCCGGGCTGAGGACACCCCTGCTGGGGCCAATAGCCCAACTTACGTGAGCGGCTGTGTTAGGTCCTTCCAGGAGGGGCCGGCCCATGCTGCCCGCTGCCCCCTTTCAGTTCTCCAAGCTAGGAGCTGCGGCAGCAGGTCCATCCCAGGAAAGGAGGCTGCAGAAAGTGATCCCTGGTCTCCTCCAAACTGGGCTTTCCTTACCGCTGTTTCCACAGTGCCAGGCGCCCTCTTAGAGACCCATAATCAGGGCCTGGGGACCGCTCACGGCTGCGGGACTGCGGACCTAGGAGGTCCCTTTGGGAAGTCAGGTCTGCTGGATACCCGCTGGGCTGCTCTGGCTGTGGGTGGGTGGCTGAGGGGTGCGTGTGGCCAAAGAGAGAGGGTCGCCCAGGTCAAGGGCAGGGCAGCTCAGATTGCCCAGTCCAGCCAAAAACAAATTCAGAAAGGGGATGGACAGAGACACGAGAGTGGGCTTTGGCTGGTTGGTCAGGGCAAATCTCTGAGAGGGTGACTATTAAGCTGAGACCTAGAGGTCAACAAGGCCCTTACAGACAAAGGGCCTCGGTCAAGCACGGGCTTGGCAAGCTTGGGGAAAGCCAGGTGGCTCCAGCGGGGACAGTGGTCGGAGAAAGGAGCAGAGGGTAGTGCAGCCGGGCCGCGTGGGAGTCTTCGCGGAGGTAAGACACACCGGTTTCCTTCTGAATGCATTTTACAGCTGGTAAAGGGTTTCCGGTGGGAGGTGCCATGATCTGATTTACACGTTAGAAAGCCCACTCTCCTGCTCTTTGAAGAAGGCACTGGCAGATGAGAAGCAAGGAGAGTAATTAAATGACCGCAGAAATAGAAATGAGGAAGCTGGAACTAAGAGCGGAGACTGGGGACATGTTGGGGAGGCCGGCTGAGCAGGACTTGGTGACGAATGGGACCTGGGGAGTGAGGACAGAAGCGGAATCCGTGGTGACGGTGGACTTTGGCCGGAGGAACCTGGTCTTTGGTAATGCCACCAGCTGAGATGGGTAAACTGAGGAGACACAGTCTTGGGCAGAAAAATAAGGAGCTCTTTCCCACTCATGTGACGTTTGAGGTGCCTATGTGACATGCAAGAGGATATGTCCAGCCCTGGCCGGTTTGGCTCAGCGGTTAGAGCATCGGCCTGCGGTCCAGAGAGACCCGGGTTCGGTTCCCGCTAAGGGCATGTACCTCAGTTGCAGTTTGTCCCCGGCCCTGGTTGGTCATGTGGATGGCAGCCACTCGATGTGACCCTTTCACGTCGATGCTTCTCTCTCTCTCTCTCTCTTCCTCTCTCTCCCTCCCACTCTATCTGAACAAAAAATGAAAAAATGTCCTCGGGTGAGGATAAAAAAAAAAAAGAGAGAGAGAGAATATGTCTAGCAAGCAGCCAAACACCCAAGCCTTAGACAAAGGTCAGGCAGAGACATCAATCTAAGAGCCGCTGGCTATGGACAAGATTTCAGTGCCAGGGACTGAGTGGGCTCATCCAGGGCCATGGTGTGGACAGAGTGGAGGGGAATCTCAGTCAAGCAAAGGCAGATGCCAGCCAAAGAGCCTTAGGGTTAGTCAGTGAGGCGGACACCATGCGTGCAGTCATGGAAGCCCAAAGAAGGCGTTTGGAGAAGGAGGGTGTAGTCACCTGGGCTGGCGGATCAAGACAAGACCTGACCAGAGGATGTGCAATAGAGGTCACTGTGACCTAGAGAGCTGTTTTGGAGGAGTGATGGAGACAGAAGCCCAGATGGAGGGGGTTCCAGGGAGAATGGAGGAACAGAAATGGAATGGCCAGTGTGGACAACTCTGTCAAGGTGTTTTTCAGGCCCTGGCCTGTTTGCTTCAGCGGTTGGAGTGACGACCTGCGGACCAGAGAGTCCTGGGTTCGGTTCCGCTAAGGGCACATACCTCGGTTGCAGTTTGTCCCCGGCCTGGTTGGGATCGTGTGGGTGGCAGCCACTCGATGTGTCTCTCACATCGATGTTTCTCTCTCTCTCTCTTCCTTCCTCTCTCCCTCCCGCTCTATCTGAAGATAAATGCAAAAATGTCTTCAGGTGAGGATAAAAAAATGAAAGACCTTCTTCAGAGAAGGAGAGCAGAGATGGGTGAAGCTTCTTAATGCCAGAAGCTAAGTTAGCATGTCCGCATGCCGATGAGACCAGTCGATGGGCGGGAGGGAGTAACGAGGAAGGAGAGAGGGAAACGCAGAGAGAGGCGCTTGTGCCCGAGGAGCAGGTGCAGAGAGGATGGGCCGGCCTTTGACAGAACGGGATCCTCTGGGGGACGAGTGTGGGTTCCCAGGCAAGTAGGTGGATACATTTGGTGAAAAGTGCTTGTTGTTATTTTATTTTATTTTTCCTTTATTGATTTTAGAGAGAGAGGAAGGGAGAGGGAGAGAGAGATAGAAACATTGATGAGAGAGAACATCAACTGGCCGCCTCCTGCATGCCCCCCACTGGGGATCAGACCCACCACCTGGGCATGTGCCCTGACCGGGAATTGAACCGGTGACCTCTTGGTGCAGGGGTCGACACTCAACCACTGAGCCACACTGGCTGGGCATGAAATGCACCTGTTTGGAAGGCATCACGCCCATACGCTGCCCTGTGCCCACTCCTCGCAGGGGCTGCAAGCAGGAGCAGGGCTGAGACCAGCTGGTCGCCCGCAGGTCCCTTGCACGTGCTGGTCTGGTCGAGTGAATGGAGGAGGGAAGGCTAAGCCGGTGTCCCTGCGGCCTCCGCCCTGCCCTGCAGCTGGACCTCGTGTGTGAAGTTGGGAAAGGTGGTGGGGAAACTCCCGAAACCTGGACGTGCTGACTCAGGAGCACAGACTAATCTACCCTGTGGGTCAGGAGGGAGAAGGCACAGATGTGGTTCCAGCTCCCCTCCAGGCTGCGTGACCTTGGTGGCACCCACGTGTCTGGGCTAGCTGTGACCCTTTCGGCAATTTCAGTCGTTAGTCAGAGCTGGGTCCACGGCCTGGCTCCTGTGCTCACTGACTGATTGTGGGCAGGTCCCCTGGACTCCACAGTGCTCAGGGTCCTTACCTGTAAACAGTGTAATTCTCAGGGGGGAAGAAGGCAAGGTCTACAAGGTGCCCAGCTGGCCCTGGCACAGAGCAGATAGACCTTGCAAGGAAAGGTCCCAGCCCACCCTCTTTCCGCCCCGCCCCAGGGTTCACTGGCCCCGGTCGTGGCCCAGGTATGCCATGTGGTACCCCTGGTGGCTGGCGGCATCTGCCAGTGCCTGGCTGAGCGCTACACTGTCATCATGTTGGACGTGCTGCTGGGCCGCATGCTGCCCCACCTGGTCTGCGGCCTTGTCCTCCGGTGCTCCAGCGAGGATGGCGTGGGCCTCGGTGAGCCTGCTGCCCCGGCCCTGCCATTGCCCACGCTCACCCCCACCCCAGCTCTGCGTGACCCCTCCCTCTCTGGCCCCCGCACTGCACCAGTGAGGACGGGAACTGAACACCTCTGCAGGGCACCTTGACTGTTTCCTGTCTAGGTCTCTCCGCTCCGGGGCCCCTGCCAGGAGAGTGGCTACCGCAAGACCCCGAGTGCCGCCTCTGCGTGTCCGTGATCACCCAGGCGGGGAACAGCAGCGAGCAGGCCGTGCCGCAGGCCATGCGCCAGGCCTGCCTCCGCTTCTGGATGGACAGGCAGAAGGTGCGGGGCTGGCAGTGGGCACTCGGGACCCAGGGCTTGCCCACAGCTGAGGATTGAGCCAGGAAAGGCTTGTGAGCCAGAGGTACACAGGGCGGGCCGAACCCTGCTGATGAGGAGCTCAGCCGGGGTGGGCCACAGTGATAGGACTGGTCAGGAGTGGCCTCCAGACAAAGGGCGTGGGCTCAGAGGACCAGCAGGCCCCCCTCATGGACGAAGTGTGAGGCCGGTTATCTCTCCGGAGATGAGCCACTCCAGGGCCAGCTGGTGCAGGAGAGGACCTGGCCTTCCCTCCATGGTCTGCCTGCCCCGCCCCATCCCTCCTCCCAGTGTGACTCACTAGGGGCAAACCCAGCTGCGGAGAGCCCCAGAGCCGCAGTACTGGGACGACAGGAGACGCCCTTCGTCCAGTGAGAGGTCCCGGAGGCAGCTCTCCGCACAGTGCTCCCCTCTCCGTCCCCCTCAGCCCCGCCGCCCACCGCATCACATCGCAAGGACCAGACGAGCCTTACATTTCTTCTGGAACTGAAATCTGGGGGGAGGGAATGGTAGTGGCTAAGATTCTGGCCCTCTGCCTGGGTTTCCCGACATAAACGCACATTTCAGCCCATGCCAGCTGCTTGGGGCCTGATGCCTGGACCTACACCAGGTCGGAGGGAGCCCTGGAGGGACCCAGAAAAGTGGAGAGGCCAGCATGGCAAGGCAGGAGCGTGCTGCAGTGGGCCTGGCCCACCCTCACCATGTCTTTCTCCTCCCTCAGTGTGAGCAGTTTGTGGAACAACACTCGGTGCAGCTGCAGAGCCTGCTGTCCAGGGGCTGGGATGCCCATACCACCTGCCAGGTGTGCCCTCCCCTCGCAGATGGTCCTGGGACTTCCCACAGAGACCCTCCCTGGTCCAAGCAGCCAGCTCCCCTCACTGTGTTAATACAGAAAAGGCAGGCTCAGAGAGGCAAGAAAAAGCCACAAAAGAATACAAAAAGGAGGGGTCTGCGAAGGGGGTGCAGCGTAGAGGAGGAGGAGTGTGGTTTGAGGTGCCATGTGGGGCGGGCTGTTCCTGGGGCCCTGTACGTTTGGTGGGGTGGAAAGCGGTGTCCCACCTCCTCCGGCTCCAAACCCCAAAGGCCCCGTGAGGCAGGAGTGACCTAGAGGTCTGGGTCACAGCAGGAGCACCCACAGGGGGCCGGCGGGGTGAGAGCCACCCCTTGGGAAGGAGCCTCCCACCCCCTGAGAGCTGGGAGCAGGGCACGGGGTGCCAGGCCTAAGACCCTACTGCTGTCCCTGTGGCAGACCCTGGGGGCGTGCGCGACCAGGCTCAGTCCTCTCCAGTGTGTCCAGGACCCCCACTTCTGAGGGGAACTCAAAGCTGTGCCAGGTGAGTCCTGTCCCCCAACTCAGGGAAGGGAGGGGGGCCCCACACCCACCAGGAGGGGAGCCCTTGCTCCCCAACCAGGAAGAGCAGCCCCTGCTGCTGTCTGCTCCGTCCTCCTCACAGGCCACAGCTCCAGGCCCGCAGGGCCCTCACCGCTCACCCCTGACCCCCTGACCGTCAGTATCTGGTGCATTCAGGCCAAGGCCAACCTTTCCCGAAACTCGGGGGGAATCAGACTTCGCTGCCCAAAAATGTTGACAGGAACTCCACCGTCCTCTGACCCTCCTCCCGAGACCTTTCCCCCTCTCTGTCGTGGTCTCAGTCAGAGGGAGCACTTAGGGTGGACAGGTGGGTCACACGCAGCCTCCGTGACCAGGTGGCCCAGGCAGGAAAGTGGCCCTGACAGGGACGGACACGGCGTTGGCCCTGAAGTCCCCCGAGAGCAGACACGGTGTGCTCTGCTGTGCAGTCAGGGCCCCTAACACAGTGGCCACATTCATTTCTTCACTTTAAAACTGTAGTGAGGCCCTGGCCGGTTTGGCTCAGCGGTTGGAGCGTCGGCCTGCGGTCCAGAGAGACCCGGGTTCGGTTCCCGCTAAGGGCACGTACCTCGGTTGCAGTTTGTCCCCGGCCCTGGTTGGGTCATACAGGAGGCAGCCACTCGATGTGTCCCTTTCACGTCAATGTTTCTCTCTCTCTCCCTCCCTCCCCCTCCCACTCTATCTGAACAAAAAATAGAAAAATGTCCTCGGATGAGAATAAAAAATAAAAAAACCTGTAGTGAGTGTCCTGTAGCCAGGTGAGCTTCTTGGGTCAAGGGCTACAACTTTGAGGAAAACAGTGAGCCCCTGGCCCTCCTGGAGCTCACACCCCAGGGGCTGCCTCTTCCATCTGAGGGGAAGCGCGCCCTGTTCCTGGAACCTGCTAGAATCACAAGCCCCTGTGGGAGGCAGTGAGGAGAAAATGGGGAGAAAATGTCTGCCCCAACTCAGGCCTGTCCCACAGGGCCCAGTTCAGTGATGACAGCATGGGACCTAGGGGTCGGGGAGCTGCCAGGAGGCCTGGCCAGCCACCATTCCGAAACCCCCAGGTCTCCCAGCACCAGGAAGAACCGGGCCAACGTCCCTGTTGAGACAGAAGAGCAGTGTGTTGGGACAGGAGGCCCGGGCTCTGGTCCCAACTCGACCGTCAGCTGGCCACAGGTCCCCAGCAAGGATACGCTGCCCCCTCACTGGCCCTCGTTTTCCTCAGCAGCGAAGGGGCAGCCAAGTGAGGACCCGCAGGCCGTCTCCAGGACTGCAGGGTCCTCCCACATGACAAGGCTCCTCCTCGGGTCCCCACCCCACTGAAAAGACTCCTTCGGTCCCACGCTCACCTCCCTTCCCCGCAAGGACCTCCAGCTGGTGGACGAGCCTGCAACTTGCGCCCCCAGCCCTGTGTGGGTCTTGTCCATCCTCTGTGGGGGAGGCACACCAGGGAGCGTCGTCCGGAGGACATCAGCAGCAGGGCCACCAGCGGGGACCGGCCTCCCACCCCGCCGAGCCAGCCCGGTTCCCGAGACCCCGCAGGGCTGGGCCACGTCAATGCTCCACGAGGACAGTGGGGCAGAAGCTGCGCCCTGCCTCCTGTGACCTACAAGACACTAGCTTTTACAATGATTTTGCTAACACTTTCACAAAATTCCAAATTCAGAAGAAGAAAAAATGAAACATAAAGTGCCATAAAAGATGGACATGAAATCTTCAAGCTTAAAAAAAAAAAATCAGGCAATCTGCAACGTGATCAAGGACTCGAGGCTGGTGGGGAGGTGACTGGGCAAACCAGATTTGAAATGTTCTGCTGCCTCAGATGTAAAAAGGGGTTTTCTTTTTATCTTTTTGTAAGGTGAACTTCCAAGTTTTGTTTGAAATTCCAGGTGGACTCAGTTTCTGCTCTGATTTGTCTCCTCAAAGCTCACCTGGCGTTGCGCGTGCTCGGGATTGGTCCCTATGTGACGCGATGCCTGTAACAATGCCAATAAAGTCCTGTGTCCTGTACTAAAAAGAAAGAGACAGTGTCCTTTAAGACGCTGCAGAAGCCACAGCCTCACCGTGAAGGTAGCTGAATGGGGGCCCCCTGACTGCCCTCCTTGATGAAGAAGCAGATGCCCATGTCACCCCTCCCTCTTCTAAGCGCTTCAGCCTGGCCCCCACCTCGCACCCTCCCCTCTCCCAGAGTCCACTCACTGTGATGAGGTGAGGTTATTAGGATACCAAAAAATTTAAATATACAGAAAAACGAATAAGTAAACCTTTAGCATTGAACATCTAAATGCCTGGAAGTGTCCTTTTATTTACAAAAGAACTGTCATTATATTTTCCTATCATAAAAGAAATACATGCCTGGCCGGTGTGGCTCAGTGGATTGAGCGTCCTCCCATGGACTGAGAGGTCCTGGTTCAATACCTGGTCAGGCCACATGCCCAGGTTGCAGGCTTAATCCCCAGTAGGGGGCGTGCAGGAGGCAGCTGATCTACGTTTCTCTCTCACATCAATGTTTCTTTCTCTCCCTTCCTCTCTCTCTAAAAAATCAATAAAAACATTTAAAAATAAAAAAAGAAATGCATGTTTGTTGTAGAAAATTCAGACACTGTGGACCAAAGAAGAGTGGGAATCACCCCCACCCCCCAGGCCCAGGAGCGCGCTATGGCAAGGAGCATTCTTTCAGTCTGTGGCCGCACCCCTCCGCCCGCACCTCTCCGCCCGCACCCCTCCATCTGCACCCCTCCGCCCGCACCCCTCCGCCATTCAAGCACCGAGGGGGAGCTCTCTAGACAACCTGCCCTGGACGAAGCACACAAATCCTCGGCTTCTGAACTTAACCTTGTAAGTAGACTTTTGTAAATCTACACCAGGCTGGTGTAGCCATTATTCCAATATAAAGACCAAGGTCCCTTAAAGAAGAGAGTTTTAAATTTTTCTACAAGCTTGGTTGGGAAGCATTAATTGATTACCACACAAGCAAGTAGGGGAATGAGCTCCTGATCATGGGAGAGGGGCCTTCACTCAAAAGGTCAGGAGCTGACCAGCTAATGGGAGGAGAGTTGGCAGGAAGTGGCTACAGCTGAGTCAGAGGGTCCCTGAGACGTGCCCAGCATCCTGCACCCCTGAGGAAGGCAGGGCAGAAGCCCCAGGAAAAGTTAGGGCCCAAGAGCAGAGAGGCCTTGTTCACTTTCCAGGGTGTGGTACGAGGAGAACTCGAGTTCCTTAGAGAAGTCTGACTCCACCACAGCATTAGAAAGAGTGAAGAGCCGGGCCGGTGGGGCTCAGTGGTTGAGCGCTAACCCATGAACCAAGAGGTTGCTGGTTCGATTCCCGGTCAAGGCTCATGCCCATGCCCAGGTTGTGGGCCTGATCCCCAGTGGGGGCATGCAGGAGGCGGCTAATCCATGTTTCTATCTCCCTCTCCCTTCTTCTCTCTCTAAATCAATACAGGGAAAAAAAATTTTTTTAAGAGAGAGAAGAGAGCCCTGGCCGGTTTGGCTCAGCGGTTAGAGGGTTGGCCTGCGGTCTACAGAGACCCCGGTTCGGTTCCCGCTAAGGGCACGTACTCCGGCTGCAGTTTGTCCCCGGCCCTGGTCAGGTCGTGCGGGTGGCGGCCACTCGATGTGTCCCTTTCACGTCGATGTTTCTCTCTCTCTCTCTCTCTTCCTCTCTCTCCCTCCCACTCTACCTGAACAAAATATCGAAAAATGTCCTCGGGTGAGGATATACAAAAAAAAAAAAAGAGAGAGAAGAGAAGGGCCTTAAGGAGGGGCCTAGGCTGACTGACCTGAGGACTAACTTGGAGGGTGCCCCCGGCATGATGCAGGAAAGCAGCCACACACACACCCCCGCCCAAGAGACTGGCAGAATCGGCTCTGAACAAAATGGTGGACCCACAACAACCCAAGACTGGGGACAAAGCACTGACACTTCGTGGCCCTGGAGAGGAGAAGTCAGATGTGTAGCCAATGTGGGCACAAGAAGGTGGAGCTCAGGCAAGATGACTGGTGCTCCAGTGGAGACCCACAGACCAGGGACAGCATGTCACGGACTTCTCTCCCCATGACAGAGCAGTCTGTAAACACCCCCAGGGAAGGGAAGGGGGATGGGGTGGGGGGCTGAGCATTAAACAAGAGCTGCGTTATTTTCAAATGGAAGTTTGGGGGCTTAGGACCCAAAATTAACCAGTTCAGTTATACAGAAATAAAGACAGTGATGTTTATGTCCTCTGGTGAATAACTGAGGTTTAAAATACGCAGCACAATCATTGTAACATTACATATCATTACACACTTTTCTCTGCACATACACAAAAATAGATATAACAGATTTTTTTTAAACAGGAACATCCTATATATGCTGCTTTGTAAACTGCTTTGTTCACTTAAAAATAACTGGCCGGGTGGCTCAGTTGGTTGGAATACTGTCCTATACACCAAAAAGTTGCAGCTTCAATATCCAGTCGGGGTACATACGGCTGGCAACTGATTGATGTTTCTCTCTCACATCAATGTTTCCCTCTCTATATCTTTCCCCCTTCCTCTCTCTCTCAAATCAAACACATCCTCAGATGAGAATGAAAAAAAAAAAAAAGCTTATTTTATTTAAAAAACAATAAAAATAGCCCTGGCTGGTTTAGCTCAGCAATTAGAGTGTTGACCCTCAGACCACTGAGACCCAGGTTTGATTCCGGACAGGGGCACATACCTCCGTTGTGGTTCGTCCCTGGCCCCAGTCCGGGTTGTGCGGGAGGCAACCAGTTGATGTCTCTCACATCAATGTTTCTCTCTCTCTCTCCCTCTTTCCCTCCTTCCTAATCTGTCTGAGGATAAATGGAAAAGTGTCCTTGGGTGAGGATAAAAAGATGAAAAACAATAAAAATAACTTTCCAGATCAATAAATATAGATATCTATCATATTGCTAATTGGCTCATGGTATTTTTTCTTGATATAAATTCTTTCATTTTTAAACAATTATTATCAACGATCTATATCTGATCAATCTCAAGATGTGAAATTTGGGGACCAAAAGTATGTACATCTTTACTTTCCGTATGGGCTGTGTTACCAACTGCCCCTCTGTGCGCCGCACCAAACTCTCTCCCAGCGGTGAACAAGAGCCTTTCCCACTCTCACCAGCCTGGCTAGCAGTCTTTCAGATCTTTGCTAACCTGAAATATAAACATGGCCTTGCTGGCTGTTCTCATTTCCATTTCTTTGGTTACTGAGTGAACATTTTTTACGTTTGTTGGCCATTTATATTTCATCTTTTGTGAAATGCTTACACAGGTGTTTTGCCCAATTTTCCACTGGAGTGTTCTTTTCATTGTTTTACCAGTAAAAATAGACTAGGTGTATTCATTCATTCCCTGTCCTACAGGTTACACATTTTCCCCTATTATATGTCTTTTATTATCTTTTTAATCCTCACCTAAGGATCTTTTTTTTTTTCTTCTATTTTCAGGTAGAGAGAAAGGGAGAGAAAGATCACGCAAGAGGGACACATCGACTGGTTGCCTCCCTCACAGCCCCAATCAGGGCTGGGGACCTAATCGCAACTGAGGTACGTACCCTTGGCTGGATTTGAACCCAGGACTCACTGGTCCGCAGGCCGATTCTCTATTGCTGAGCTAAACTGGCCAGGGCTATTACATGTCTTTAAAATTTAGGATGTTTTCCACATGTGTATCTTTTCCTTTGTGACTTCTGGCTAAGAAAGCAGGAATCTCACTTCTCAGCTGTGGTTCAGACCTGCCAGAGTCTGAGGTCTCCAAAAGAGAAAGCAGGTGCAGGGATCACAGCTGTGGAGACATGTGAGCCAGGCCTCTGGCTCAGACGGTGGGGGAAGCAAGCCATATGTCATCCACACAGGACCTTAAGCTACTGCACACAGGACGTGATAGTCAACTCTGAGCCGTGGTCCCCAGCCTTTCAGGCAAAAAATATGGACTGTCAACATCTTAGGGGAGTGTAAAGAGACAAAATCATTTGTGCAAAAGAAGGATACAGAGAACACAGGCTTAGCATGATGCCGCTCACTCGACAAACATTAGCAATCGACTCCTAAATGCCGAGCGTTTCCCTAGGGCTGAGCATAGAAGAAACAGTTCCTGTCCGTCCTTTTGGAAGAGAGTCTAAGTGGGAAAACAGTCATTAATCATGGAATCACAGAAAAAGGAAAATGGAATACTTCAGCACACGTGCTATCAATTAGACATATACATGGTACTGAGCAGAAATGCGAGGTCGCAGAGGTAAGAGAGCAAGAGTTAAAAGGGAGAGAGCATCCCTAGCAAAGGCAGCAGATGGCACAAAGGCCTGTGTCCTGTGGACACCTGAACAAGATCAGTGAGCCCAGGATAGAGCACGAGGAGAAACTTCCAGAGGTGAGGCTAGAGAGACCAAGGATTCCAGTCTATCCTGAGCCAAAGTCGTGTCTTCAGCAGATTAGGGTGTGGAGAAGTGTCTTGGTTACATTTGTTTTATTTTATTATTAATTTATTTTTGTTACAGATGTTCTCCTTTTCCCCCCATTGACACCCTCCTCCCCATCCGCCCCTCCCCCACCCCATCCCCAGCATTGTTGTTTATGTCCGTTACGCATACACGCATGTAAGTTCTGTTGTTTCTCTCTTCCCCCTCCACCCCCTCCTCTGAGGTTTATCAGTCTGTACCCCACTTCTGTCTCTGGGTCTGTTTGTTCACCAGTTTGTTTTGTTCATTATATTCCACTAATAAGTGAGATCAGGTGATATTTAACTTTCTCTGATTGGCTTGTTTCACTTAGGATAATACTCTCCACATGGAGGGACATGGATATCCCTCCACGTCATCTCAAAGGATGAGATCTTTCTTTCTTACAGCTGCAGATTTGTGTTTTAAAAGATTACTCTGGCTAAAATGTGAATGAACTAGAGGGAGGGGGCAAGGGAAAGTGGGGATACCTGTTAGGAGACCGTTGTAAATGGAAACTGGCAACCACTTCGACTAGAATGAGTAACAGAGGGCCTGTGCAGAGGTCCCATGGATTCTGGAGAATGACTTCAGACAACCATACACTTAATCAGGTGGTGACTCCAACTGAAGCTATTGTTCCAGATGCATCACCTTTACTGATACAGCAGAGGCCTGGCCCAGACCAATTTATAAAGATCACCAGCAGTAGCTAATTTGTTGCTACCTGGCAGGACCAGCAGTATACCTTCAGGGTTGCCTGAGGACAACGTTAATCTCTACCACAATCCAGTCCACAGATATCTTAATCATCTTGACAGTCCACAAAATATCACACTGGTCTACTACATTATGATGATTGGATCTGATGAGCAGGAAGTACCAAGTACTCTAGATGTCTTAGAAAGACATAAACAAACAAGAGGGTAGGATTTGACCCCGAAACAATTCAGGGGCCTGCCACTCAGAGAAGTTTCTGGGGAACAATGGACTAGTGTGTCATCATACTAGTATGTCATCCCCTCTGTGGCTGTTCCTGTCATCTGCTATTCCTACATTCTTTAGAATTCTCTATTCCTAGCCAATCCCTGGAACTACAATCCCATTACAGTTAATAATTCTTGAAATTATATTTCCCCCTGATCAAATGATTATATAGTTTATCTCTTGATTAGCCCTGGACTAAGCTGACACTAGCTTAGACTAGACGTTGGCAGAGAATGGAAAGAAGTAGGAAAATTCAGGAAACACAAAGTAAAACAGATAGGACTTGGCAATGGATTAGACAAGGGAAGTGAGGGTGGGGGTCGTTTTTAGCTTGCATAACTAGATGAATAGTGGAACCCTTCAGCTACACAGAAACTACTGGAAAGGGCTAAGTATGAGAAAACTCGCAAGCTCAGTTTAGAACAATGTTGAGTTTGAGTTGACTTTAAAGACACCCAACATAGTCCGGCCGGTGTGGCTCAGTGGTTGAGCGTTGACCCAGGCAGCAAGAGGTCGCTGGTTCAATTCCCAGTCGGGATCACATGCCCAGGCTGTGGACCTGATCTTCAGTGGGGGGCATGCAGGAGGCGGCCCATCAATGTTCTCTCTCATCGATGTTTCTCTCTCTCTCCCTTTCCCTTCCTCTCTCTCTAAAATCAATACAGGAAAAAAAATTTTTAATTAAAAAAATAAAGACACCCAACATATAACAAGTAGCAGCTCTAAATTTGATAATTTAAATAAGTCTGGGGCTAAAATTGGAGTCTTCACTCTTAAGAAGTGACTAGTGAAGAGACAGGCACAGTTGAAATGGCCCACAGGGAAAGCGAACAGTGAGAAGAGAGGGCCTGATTTGAGGAACCCCAACTTTTAATAGCTGGATCAAGGCATGAGCCTGCAAAGGAAACAAGGAAGCTGTCAGAGGGAGAGACGTAAGGACAGCACTGCGTCGCAGGAGAAAGGGTGGCGGCCGTACCGGTGCAGACTTGCAGTAGTGGACCAGCTGCCCCAGTTGCTGTACCTTCAGCTCTTCCCTGTCTTTAGATCTGCCTGTGCTCAGGCCAAGGTCCCACTTCTCCAGACGGCTCCCCATCAGTGACTGAGCTTCATGCAAGCCACTCCTGCGTGATCCTTCTGACAGGCGACCTGTGCTCTGGGCTCCACTGGCCTGGCTGAGACTCTCAGGACCACATGCAGCCAGATGCTCTTCCAACCATCCTTCCTCCCCTCTTCCCTCACACAGCCCTGCACTACAGGCTGAAACCACTCACCTCTGGACTTCTCTTAGGTACAATTACAATGCAGTACTTTTACTCAGATGTTTTGTTACTTAGAGACAAATGCAGCTTAGCTGACAACACCCACAAGCTCACAGGACGACACAAGTATGATGTCCACTGGATGACAGGCTGTAGGATAGACAGTCTGTGAGGCTTAATTAAAACACTTACACACACAGCCTAAGGGAAGGACATAAAACAAGAGGCTGGTTTACAAACAGGAGAATATTTAATTCATTCTTTAAAAAATCAGGAAGGAAAAAGGATGCTACTGGCTTCATGCTCTTATTCCTAGAATCCTGAGCCACTGATGCTTAGAGGATACACATAACTACTCAGAAATAAATTACAGACATCTGTAAGTTATGGCCTGCTGAAGCTACAGGGGAGCTAGAAAGAAAGGTGAACAAACATCAATCTACAGTAAACTGATCAAAGAACAGCTGGGTGACAGCACAGAGTTGTCCCAGGCAGGTGGGCCCCTCTATTGCTCTGGTGTGAACCAACACCCATAAAAACTAGGCTGGTCCAGGGATATGCCCAGTCAGCCTCTGTTCAGTTACAGCTTCACTATTATTTACATATTCAGCCCTGGCTTCTCCTTCAAGCCCCCTGCTGGTTGGTTTCATCATTATCCCGCCTCTTCCAAATCTGTAAGAAATGAATACAACAGATATTTAGGAGCCAGTATTCAATATACAAATATTCATTAAAATACCTATTCTATCCTAGACAATGGACAGATATGGCTCAAATTACACATGTGTTAAGTCCCCTGAAACTAATTCATCTTTCAGAAAATTTCCTTTCATTCGATTTTCACTTTTCCATCCATCCCTCTCTGTGACTTCCTATTCCAGACTCCCTTCCTAAAAGAGAACTCATAGTCAAGCCTATAACCTTAGACAAAGTTGCTAGGCGTTAACTCTAGAGTGAGAAGGGTTTGGCCCGTGGACCAGAGTCTCGGGTTTGATTCGGGTCAAGGGCAAGAATTACTTGTGATTCGATCCCCAGCCCTGGTCGGGGTAGCGCGGGAAGCAACCAGTTGATGTGTCTCTCTCACATCGATGTCTCTCTCTCTCTCTTTCTCCCCCCCTCACTCCCACTCTATCTGAAAATCAATGGAAACATATCCTCAGGTGAGGATTAAAAAAAAATTAAGAAATAGAATGAGAAGAGTCTGCCCTCTTTTTTATAGAGCTGGTTTTTTCTTAGTCTCAGTCTTCCTTCTTCACCGGGTACTAGGGCAGTTATAAAGAGACAACAGAGTCTGCTCCACCAGATGTCAATCCAAGACAAAACAGCTAAAGTGATATGGCTGGTGCTTCAATAAAGACACAAAGTGCCGTGGGGTCAGGAAGAGTGTTAATTGTGCCTAGAGAACGGAGGGAAGCGTCAGAGCCCACTCCTAACTGGTGTCCCGATGAGTCCAGGCTCTTCCTCCTTGAAATCAGATCGCACACCTGTGCAAAACTGACCATAAACAAAACCTCCCTCCTCACTCAAAATTCTTCCATATAACCTGCTCTTCTCCTCTGAAGATGCCCTGGACTTCTAAGGCCATACGATCTCATTCCCCAGTGCACCCCAACAGGTGCCCAGCTAACCAAGGCTCTAACTTAATCCCAGTCCCTGCTTTCATGCACATTTTCCCCCCGTTGACCTCATACCCCACCTATTCAGCGCTGACCAAGTCTGTGGCCAACCCACCTGAATGTAAGCCTCCGACAGCGTGATCATCTGGGGAAGGATGTCAGTTACCTGGAGGTCTTGTAATTCATACCATTTTCCTGTCCCCTGCAAAAAAGTATAAAGGGCTCAGTTAGTCTACTCACTAAAACCAAAAGGATGTACAAGGAAGGGACCACAGGCAGAAGTCAGAAGAATCAGAATAACAACAAGACCATCACCCAAAAAGAGTCCTAAGGCAAAGGGTGCATGACCTCTGCTAGGCATCATTCAATGCAAAGAACTTGTGGGGTGTTGACTTTGGCAAACTCAATTCCTGCCAGTCCTTTATGTATAATGCAATCCAAACACTCTATACCTTTTAAGAAGAATTTAGGTGAACAAGAAAATAAAGTCCTCTACTCCTCACCTAAGATGTCCCTTTGCTGGTCAGAAATCACAGACTGGACATACTCACCTAGGAGGCAGAGTGCTAACCACTGGAAATACCTAAAAGTGAACATTCCCACCCCCATCCCATAGAACACAGAGACAGTCGAGAAAATGTGTCCTTTGTGGACACTATCATTCATACTAACTCACTCCCTTTAGTCTGCAAAACTAGTGCTGCAAATGCAGCAAAACCTACCTCACCTCATGCATGCATAAGCAAGGGGAAAAGAAGTTTCTGGATTATGACAGAGGCACTTCTGGAATCTCACCTGCCTCATCCATCCAAACTTCTAAGAAATGTCAAAGACAGACACTATAGAATATAGATATTCCAAATACTCCAATAGTTCAGATATTCCAACATATTCCACGTTTTCCATAGAAAACGTAACAAAAGCTCAGGATCACATAATCAAGTCCCCATTCCTGAGTTGGAGCCTCGTTAAGAACATGGTGAAACCAAATATTTGGGTTTAAATCCCAACTCTGCAAGGGTAAGTTTCCTCATTTGTAAGACAAAGTTATTAACACCTGTCTTGGAGGTGTGTTTTAAAGATATAAATGAGACGAACATACACTGAGCACTTGGTGAACTTTCCAGTGCACGGTATGGCACCTGGTAAACAGAACAGTCCCAGAAAACTAATCAAATTAGAACAATCTGTGCGATACCAAATATATCTTAAGTATATGTTTCATCCATTTTTCAGCTTGAGCCAAATTCACAAAAATGTTTAGCTGAAAGGGAATCTCTAGACAAGTACTTCATGAAATTTAACTTCACATCAATCAGAAGTTCTTGTTAAAATGCAGCTTTTGATTCAGTAGGTTTGGATGGGGCCTGAGGTTCTGTACTTCTAATGGATGTTCTCATGTCAATGCTGCTGGTCCGAGGATTTCACTTCCAATGGTAATACTCCAGCCTAGGACAATGGGTCTCAAACCTGGCTGCGCAGGGGAATCTCTTGGAAATTTTAAAACATCAATGATGCCTGGTTCCCACCTCCAGATACTCTACTGCAGTCTCTTAACCCTGACTGACATTTTAGGCCAGATAATTCTTTGCTCTGGGGTATACCTGTGTATTGTAGGACATTTAGCAGCATCTCTGGCTTCTACCACAGTTGAAAATCAACAGGCACAAACTACATGGTTCTAATGTAATTGGCCTGAGGTGGTGTGCTAATACCAGGATTTTAAAATCTCCCCAAATGAGTCCAATGTGCAGCCAAAAGTTAGAACCACTGCCTCAAACTCCCACTGACAGCTGTATTACTTGCAGAATCCCAAAGTCAGAGTGACGAAAGAGCAAACTGAAGGGAGCTGATGTCTGAGCTGCCAAAGGAATGACCCGTCTGTGCCGCTCTGCATGAGAAGTCGGCAGCACTCACATGATGGAGCACGTGGATCCGGTAGGCGCCCTCAGAGGGCTTGCCGTCGTGGACGATGTTGGCAATCAGGTCGTAGGTGGTGTTCTTGTGTACTGCTTGCACTTCCTCAGACAAGTACTCTCTCAGATCCACATTTCTGGTGATGATGAAAATAAAGCCAGAAGATCAGACAGAGGCTACCAGGTTGGGAAACTGCCCTACACAAGTGAACCACAAAGCTACTGGAGCCTATTTTAGGACCCTGGATCCAGGTAGGCTTGCAGACCCATGAAGCCCAGGTTTGTGGAAATTCACGTAATCTGTCCTACAATGCTATAAAAATGAGTCAAACTAGGAAGACTGGCTCTAAGGGAAAAGCACACATTAAAGCATCTGTAGCAATCAAATGTACAATGTAGGGCCTGGAGTCATTCAGACTTGAACTAGAATCAGGGCTCTGCCACTTTTGAGCTATGTGTGAGTCTAAGCAGGTGACATAACTTAAGGCTCTTCTTCAAGGAGAACGCAGCCACCCTCTCTGAGATGGTGAGGACTGAGACGACGGGTGTGACTGCCTCATCCTCTGCCTGGCCTGGGATCGGCTGCAGTGTCCAGACAGCACCCGGTCTCTGGCCTCGGGCTGCGGAAGGCCTGACCACACGATTATGTGGGTTGCCACTGCATGTAATCACGGTAACAACTTGAACATGGCAAACCAGGCATTCCAATTTATTTTTTTTATTTTTCTGGGGCTTTGCTTCTTTACTTGATTTTCTTTCTTTCAGCCAAGCAAAACAGTTACAAGTGATAGAAACCAGCCCAAGGCAGTTTAAATGCAAAAGGGGAATTTATTCAAGGTTTTCAGACTAGGAAATGCAGCTGGAACCAGGCACGGGAGAAGCAGCAGGATCTAAGAGGGCTACTTGCCCTCTTTCCTGCTTCCGACGTCAGCTTTATTCTTCTCCCTCTTTCTGCAGCCCAGCCTTCTCTTCTGGGTGTGACTCACCTTGGCTACCCCACAGCTTCCCGGTTTCTCACTTCTAGTTACCAAAAGAAACTACTGACTAGGTTCCTTCAACTGGGACTTAGAAATATCAAATTTATTTTTAATATCTGAACACTTTCTTTTTTATTTATTTATTTTTATTTTTTATTTTTTATCCTCACCCGAGAACATTTTTTCCATATTTTGTTCAGGCAGAGTGGGAGGGAGAGAGAGGAAGAGAGAGAGAGAGAAACATCGACGTGAAAGGGACACATCGAGTGGCTGCCACCCGCACGACCCAACCTGGGCCAGGATCAAACTGCAACTGAGGTACATGCCCTTAGCGGGAACCGAACCCAGGTCTCTCTGGACCGCAGGCCGACGCTCTAACCGCCAGGCAAAACCGGCCAGGGCTAAAAACTCACTTTCAAATACAAAAAAGCATTCCTGCTGTACCTGGAATAAAATCTTTTTGTGTTTTATTGGTTGAACTCTATTCCATTAGTTGAAGTATAAATGTATACTGGTTATTGCAAAAAAGTGCTATAATGAATGCTTACTGTGAAGATTGTACCAAGATAGTTACTAAGAACTTTCAGGGAAATAAATTGACAGTTAATGCGAATATTAAGAGAATATGTTAACTTTATAATTTCAGGGAAAACATAGCCTTTTTAGCCTACAAGTATTTATAAACATTTAAATAATAAAAGGTAGAATAAGAGAGATTATACCGTATTTCCAATCTAAGTAGACCTGTCTGATGTGCTACCACTCACAACACGAAACACCATAATGTCATCCCAGGGAGGAGTCACACAACAGGCTAGCAGTGGTTACGTCTAGTGGTCACTTCTAGACAGATACCTCCCTTTGACTCTTAGATTGTGAATATACTACCTGTCCAAAAATATAAAATCTTTTCAATTATAAACAAATACGCAACTTTGTTCTAATTATATTATGTAGCTTTCTATGCGTTAGTGTTAGCTATTTATTTCTACAGACTGAGGGTGTCCCATATAAACTGCAATACATATTCAATGTTAAAGGCAGTTTAGATATGAGTCCTAAGAAATGCATACAAACTCCAGATTGCCAAACCGCTCACCAGCTGCTAGGAGCTGACTTTCCAGGTCCTCATCTCCTCTGTTTAAACAGCTGTCCACACTTGTCTGAATGAGACATCTTAAGGAGTATTTATACTCAAATTTTCATGGCTGAACAAAAACTGTTTTAAGTGGCAAAAGGAATGAAGATACATTATATCATTTTGTTTTAGAAAATGGCCAAAGGAGCAAACAATACTCATCTCCCAATCAGAACAGTCCAATTTGGAGAACAACTAGTTAGCTGAAGTGCAACTTTAAACTTGTGCTCCAAAAACTCTATCTCCAAATGAGCAAAGGGCACCTAATTGCCAAGTCTGATAAACTCTGGTAAAAATAAGATGTTATGAGTAAAACACAGGAGAAGAATTAGGTATAAAAATGGTCCTTTTCAAGAATGAGAATCTAAAACCAAATTACTCTAAAAGTAATTACAGTACATAAAGTAACCAAAGTGCAGGTTTCCAGAATTAGTCACACAATCTGATGTTCTCCAAAAGGCTGACTAGTCAAGAAGTACAGCTGACCCATGAACAGCTAACCCGAGAAGGTTAGGTGCACCAATCTCCTGTGCAGTTGAAAACCCACATATATCTTTTAACTCCCCCAAAACTGAACTACTGTTGTCTCTCTAGGTACCTATAGGGAACTGGTTCCAGGACCTCCCGTGGATACCAAAATCCAGGGATGCTCAAGTCCCTCATATAAAATGGCATGACACAATGCATACAGTTGGCCCTCCGCATTCTTGGATTCCCAACTGTGGACTGAAAATACTGTTTTCTATCCAATCTTGGTTTATTCCGCAGGTGTGAAACCCAGGCATATGAAGAGTAAATTGCATATTTAGTGAAAAGATCCACATGTAGGTGGACCCGCACAGTTCAAACCCGTGTTATTTGAATGTCAGCTGTCATCTTTTTCTCAGCTTCTCCAAAGTAAGCTTTCTGAGGGACAAACCACTGAAGTCAGTTACCAAAAATACAAATACAAATGGTGGCAAAATGAACTCCAGGCCCAATATAAAAGAAGCCGATAGAGAAGGCAATTTCTGTGGTGACTGAGCAGGAACCCCGTCCATACACAGTCCTCCTTCCTCTGGAGCTGCCGTGGAATCCAGTGCTCCTTCCGACCAGGAACAGACTGGTGATGGGCAAGGCACAAGAGTCCGGCTCTGAAACAAAACCCTCACATGCGGACTTCCAAAGAGATCTCCTCTGTGGTCCCACTCAAGGCAGCAGAAAGCTGGCCTCCACATCCCCCAATTTCACTGTCACACAAACAAGACACCAGTGAAGAACAGGAAAAAAATGTGGGAAAAGAAGAATTTCTCCTGTATTTCTAACTACAAGCTTTTCTATCCTAGCCCCTACTATTCTCAGATTATTAGTAATCATGGAACCAAAAGTAACTAAATGTTATACCTGGAAGGATCCCTAGGGATCACCTAGTTAAAGCCTCCCATTTTATCCATGAGAATATATAACCAGAAAATATGCAAATGATCTACCCAAGGTCAGACAGCTAGGATAGTCCAGAACTCAGACCCCTTATATTTAATTAATTAATTAATTTTTTAATTTTGAAAATATGTCTATTAAAGCTGGGGACAGTGAAACCAGGGCTTAGGATAGAAACAGCAACAGCAGAGCCTAGGCGGGATGCTCTGGCTCACTTGGAGGTCAGAAAAAAGGAGGCCTTGGAGACAGGTCCAGGAGGTCAGCCCAGGATGAGCTGCCACTGCCCGTTGTTCCCCTGGTTTCAACAGGCCTATTTCATTTTAGACACTACTCTCTTAAACACTACGGAGAATTCAGAACTGGAACTGTTTCCAAAGGAGAAAATTGGCAGTCCTGGTACAGTTTGGGCAACTGGACAATGGAGGGGGATGGAAGTAGAAAGAAAAGAAGATGAGCATTTGTCCATTACAGCTTCCATACTACTTTGTGAAAGTTAAAAAACAAAAAAAAAAAAAACACTACTAAGCTAAACATCATGTTAGTCCTATCATCTATCCATTCAAATCCTTCTCAATAAGAAACTGTTACCCACCAGGCTGGTGTGGCTCAGTGGTTGGGCATCGACCCATGCACCAAAAGGTCACCAGTTTGATTCCTGGTCAGGGCACATGGCCAGGTTGTGGACCAGATCCCCAGTAGGGGGCGTGCAGGAGGCGGCCAGTAGATGTTCTCTCATAGATGTCTCTATCTCTCTCTCCCTCCCTCTCCCTTCCTCTCTAAAATCAATAAAGAAAAAAACATTTTTAAACGAACAAAAGAAATTGCTCCCTTGGCTAAAGGCCACGTTTCTTCCTATCACCCCTGCCACCAGGTTTCTCCGTGTTCTCAGAGATACCTTCTTCAGCACATGAAAAACCAAGTCTCTTGCCCTGGCCGGTTTGGCTCAGCGGTTAGAATGTTGGCACTCCGACCAATGAGTCTTGAGTTCGATTTTGGTCAAGGGCACATACCTCGGTTGCGGTTCATCTCTGGCTCTGATCAGGGTCATGTGGGAGGTGGCCAGTCGATGTGTCTCTCTCACTTTGATGCTTGTTTCTCTCCCTCTCTTTCCCTCTATCTCTCTCCCTCTCACTCTATCTGAAGAAAAATGGAAAATAATATCCTCGGGTGAGGATTAAAAAACAAACCAAATCTCTTGACACTAAAAAAATGCCTACATTGAAAGGGGTCTTGCAGGAGCTTTCTGAGTTACAAGGTGGCAAAGTAAAAGAACCTGGTATAACACCTCCCAATTTTGCATTAAAATACTCATAAATGTTCATAAAAAACCAACTACACGGCTAATTAAAAGTAAGACCATACATCAAAATTTGTAACTTCCTCATCAACAGGAAGAAAACATTGCAAACTTTACCCTCTGGAGAAAAAATAAGAGAGAAAGACTGCAAGACGAGTAAACAAATCTGGGCTCATGCCCACTGTCCATACCTAACTGCAGTGTGCAAGAAGATGTGAGGACCAGCAAACAGATGGACTCTAACTGCTCAGGATTATCTTCAAAGCCAGGAAAATCCTACCTGCCCTATTCTACTGCTACCAACGGTTTTTCCCTACAGTGAAGGACTACAGTTCCCATCAAGCAACAAGAAAGAGTAAAAGGGGACTGCTCCCAGGTAAATATCTATCCCTGATGCCTTGAAGTATTTATAGCCTTCAAATAAAAACTCTTAACTTATGTAATATAGGTAGGTTCTGTTCCTTGCCATCTCCAATTAAACAGTCCAAAATTAAGTGATACAAAAATATAAAAAGAAATTCAGTCTCACTCTGGCTGGTTTTGCTCAGTGGTTAGAGCATCACCCATGGACCAATGACTCTCAGGTTCGATTCCAGTCAAGGGCATGTACTTCGGTCTCAGTTGGTCCCCGGCCCCGGTCAGGGTCATGCTGGAGGCAACCAGTCAATGTGTCCCTCTCACGTCATTGTTTCTCTCTCTCTCCCACTCTACCTGAAGATAAATAGAAAACTATCCTTGGGTGAGGATTTAAAAAAAAAGGAATTCAGGCTCACTCCCCTGAAGAGGAAGTGAAACAAGGCAATACTCACGTAATAGGGAAGTTGACAATAGTTGGATTCTTCTCCACAAAGAAATTGTTCTTAGTGAATCTCTTAATGCAGAAGATTAGATATGGAGGAAGTTTGGTGAGCTGAAAGCGCTTCAGAAAGTTCTCCTTGTAAGTCTTATATTCCTAGAAAGAAAATTATCAAATTAGTGCTCAGGGAATGGGTGAAAAAGGTGAAGGGATTAAGAAGCACAAATTCATTGCTAGACTGACAAACCTCAAAGGGAAAGGGGTTGGGGGGTTGGGGTGGGAAGAAATAAACCAAAGAACTTATATGCATAACCAATGGACACAGACAATAGTGTGGGAAAAGGTGGGAGGGGAGCAGGGAGTGTGGAGGAGGGGGTCAACGGGGGAAAAATGTGGAACATCTGTAATACATTTTACATCCAACAATAAAGATTTGAAAAAAAAAAAAAATTAAAAAAAAAAAAATTAGTGCTCAAGTACTGGAGCAGGGGCATGAGTTTTGAGTTTTGTTTTGGTTTGAGTTTTTTCATATAATTCTGCCTTACACTTAGAATTCACAAGACATCTGATCCCAGAAACCATGTACAAGGCTTAAGAAGACTTCAGCTAGAGCTGACTCAATCACCTCAACTGTGGGCTGTGTTTCCGCCAGCACATGATCATACTGTTCAACTCTACAGTAATGTGGGTGTCTGATTCTACAAGGAAAACAAAATGTTAAGTGAAAAAGAGGATTTGTTGCCCGGCTGGTGTGGCTCAGTGGTTGAGCGTCAACCCATGCACCAAGAGGTCACCAATTCGATTCCTGGTCTCTCTCTCTCAAAAAAGTCAATAAAAATATTAAAATCTAAATGAGCCAGATAGCTCAATTAGTTAGAACATAATCCCAATACACCAAGGTTGCATGTTTGATCTGCAGTCAAGGCACATACAAGAATCAACCAATAAATGCATAAGTGGAACAACAAATCAATGTTTCCTCTCTCTCTGTCTCTCTCCCCCTTAAATCAATTAAAAAAAAAAAAAAACCTAAATGATGTCACAGCCTAAGTTACAATGGTTTCTCATAAGTTAATGAGAAAACATGAGATGAGAGGAGAATTTCACCATGGACATCAGTACTATATTCACATAGCAAGGAGCAATTTGATTTTAGCTAAACAACACATTACAACAGCATATTAATTATTTTTATTGGTTTCAAAGTTTTGTTTGTATATAACTTGTAAGTGTGCTATAATTTTATACTTGCTTAAAAGTTGCAGGTGTGAGGAGCTTATACCAATATTTAAGTTTTACTAATTTAAGTAACATTATAGTAAAAATAAACTTAATACTGAGGGCCCATGGGAATCTCAATATTAAGTTTGCACAGTGATTAACAGGAATCAAGGGGGATAGCTGAAAACATCAGATGAAATATCTGAGTTTAGATTTCTTGGTCACATAAAGCCACTAAAATAAAGAAATTGAGCTACGTGATCCCTAAGGCCTCTCTTTCACCTCCCAAAAATGAAATGACATTTTAGGTACCATTGTTACCTATCTCTGTGCTTGTGTGTATGTGTACATATATGTGCCTGTGACCTGGGCAGCTACAACTGTACATGGTCACCTGGTGCTTGTTTTGCTTATCATGCTTACTAACAGTTCCTGAAAACTGACTTGGATACTGGATGGAAACAGTAATGGAGCTCGGGGAGGTGTGTTTTAGAGACTTCTTGGGGTGGTTGCCTAGCTCACAATTCTCCTTTCTTAAGGAAAGATCCCTATTCTCACAGGGTCCTGACCAGAAAGGACACCTGACCCAAGCAGGCCTGTCAGCTCCCTCCTGGGAACCTGGAGCAGAGTGGCAGAGGCCGCACGGCAGAGTAGCTGATACCAGGTTAATGACGGCCTTTGTAAGATACAGTGCACAGACCACCAGTTCTGAAAACCCATCACTCCAGTTCCCGTCATTCCCAATCCTGCTCAGTTCAACTCTTCCTAAGATCCAAAGAGATGCCTTCCAATAAAGTTGCTCTTTTACCTTAACTAGTTTTTCACTGACATTTAATATCTGGAAACAAAAGAGTCTCCACTAATAAAGGATTAAGAAGAGAATTAGGATGAAGAAGAGACAACCCGCCTGGCTGGTGTGGCTCAGGGGACTGAGCGTCGTTCCTTGGAATGAGAGGTCCTGGTTCAATTCCTGGTCAGGGCACATACCTGGGTTGCGGGCTCAATCCCCAGTAGGGGGCATGCAGGAGGCAGCCAACTGATGTTTCTCACATTGATGTTTCTATCTCTCTCTCCCTTCCTCTAAAAAGTCAATAAAAACATATTTTTTAAAAAAAGACAACTCAGTAGATAAAAAGAAACTTTTAACGATACGGTAGGAATAAATTATTTGTTTATTTATATTTTAGTTGTTTTTTTCCACTTTAATATTGATGTTATGTTTTTTAAAAGACAGAAATTTTTCCTACCTTTGTGAGTTGCTACTATCCTACATACCCCTCCTTCCTCCATACTAACCAGAGGCAGAAGGTTTAAAGGAACATTTGAGAAATACAAGAGAGGGCACTATAACTCAAGTGAAGAGTTGGGAGGACGCTCAGCTAGAAACAGCACAGAGTCCAGGAGGCTCACTTAGGACAATATACTTTTTAATAATTGCATTACATATATGTGGCGATTTCCAAGTATACAAGGAAAATTAAAAAGTCAAGAGAGAGAAAGGGGTATTGGCAGGGCAGGTGTGCAAATGGGCTACCTTCTCAGTGATGCCGTTGAACTTGGCCAGGATGTTGAAGAGCGGCACCTGGGGGATGATGAGCTGCTCCTTCTCGTCCTTGTAGAGGGGTGCAGTAGGAAGGTCCAGTGTGAGGTACATAAAGGTGGACTCCACCATCGTCTCCTGGTACTCATCATTGTGAAGCAGCTGTTCTTTTTCTTCTGCTGGCTAAAAATAAATGAAAAATAAATGGGAGAAAAGGAGTGTGAGCAGCAAGAGACCACCACAGATAGAAAGAAACAAGGTTTTTGTTACATTTACATTATGCTTCCTTTTATATTGAACTAAAGTCAACAGACTGGGCGATATCACCTAATTAAATTAATCCAAGAATGGAGAGGTGTCCGTCTTCAGAGATTTAATTTAAATACTAGACTATTTTATTTAAAAAAAAAATTTTTTTCCTTTATTGATTTTAGAGAGGGAGAAGGGAGAGCGAGAGAGATAGAAACATCAGTGAGAGAGAACATCAAATGGCCACCTCCTGCATGCCCCCCACTGCGGTTTTGGCCCACAACCTGGGCATATGTCCTGACCGGGAATCGAACTGGCAACCTCTTGGTGCATGGGTCGACACTCAACCACTGAGCCACACCAGCCAGACAAATAAATACTAGACTATTTTAAAAACTTTTAAATGATTGTCTAAAAAAACATGCAACACCACCCAATGGCCAGACCACTTAAACCAGCAGATCCTCTATCCAACCACTAACTCCCCACCTTAAGCACACTAATGGGCTAGGAACCTGAGGGAACTACCACTTGGGAGGTGTTCTGCAGAACCTCTTCCTGGGTACTGGTTCTCCGAGCATCTCTTCGTCGGCCCTACATCCCCTCAGGCAATATAAATCAGTCTGGGACTCAGGTTTAACCCACTCACCAGATCAGGATGAGGAAGCTTTTTAGTGAAGATCCTCATGGACCCCTGGAACACGTCAGTCACAATAGCTGCACAAACAGAAATCAAAATGTAAATTGTCAGGTTGAAAAGCATTTCCAAAATATAGTCCTAACTTCCAAATTTCAGAAATAAACTAACACTTTCCAGCATAAGACCCAAAGCTGTCACTAAACACAGAAGTACTTTTGCAATGTATACCACCATGGTACCTTTATAATTATTTGTGTAAATAGCTTTATGTCTGTTTTCTCTACATAAATGCCCTTTGACTCTCCAGCACAGGGCCTGGCCCATAAGAGAAAAATTAAGTGTGTCTGAAATCAATGAGTATTTTATAGGGGCTGGAGATATATACGTCACAAAAAATTCACAAGTAAAACAAGACACAGCTGACCCTTGACCACGGGCAGATGTTTTCCAATAAATATGAATAGTACTGCAAATGTATTTTCTCTTCCTTATGATTTTCTAAATAACATTTTCTTTTCTCTAGATTACTTTACTATAAGAATACAAAATATAATACACATAACATACAAGATATGTATTAATCAACTTTATGTCATTAGTAAGGCTTCCAGTCCACAATAAGTGATTACTAGTTAAGTTTTTTGGAAGTCAAAAATTATACACATATGTTTTCCTACATAGGGGGTTGGTGCCCCTAATCCCCATGTTGTTCAAGGGTCAACTGTACATGCAAAGAACTTCCCATTACCACATGCTGCCTGCAAAGTGGGACACAATTACCATGCATTGAACATAAAAGGAAAATGACAAACTAAAGAATGGAGCAGAACAGAACCAACGAAATGAGACAGAAAGCACAACATGGTTCTACAATCCTCAAGGACACAAGTCAGAGAACTCAGAGTGTGTGCACAGGCTGAGGACACTTGGTAGAGGTGAGGGTCATCCAGCAGGAGGAAAACCAGGCCACAATCCCACGTCAGAAAACATCAACACCACCAGAACCCAAAAAGAAGACAAAAAGAAAACTGCATTAGGATTCCCAAATTATTCACCTTGCTCAGCAGTCTCTGAGCTAACTGGTACCATAAAAAACATCTAACTAGTCCCACCGGTGTGGCTCAGTGGTTGAGCACCGACCCATGCACCAAGAGGTCGCCAGTTAGATTCCCAGTAAGGACACATGCCCAGGTTGTGGGCCCAGACCCCAATGGGGAGCATGCAGGAGAAGGCCAATCGATGTTCTCTCTCATGGATGTTTCTATGTCTCTCTCCCTCTCATTTCCTCTCTCTCCCTAAAATCGATAAAGGAAAAAAAACAAATGTCTAACTAGCCCAGCCAGTCTGGCTCAGTGGTTGAGCATCGACCCATGCACCAAGAGGTAGCTGGTTCGATTCCTGGTCAGGGCACATGCCCAGGTTGTGGGCCCAATCCCCAGTGGGGAGCATGTAGGAGGAAGCGGCCAAACGATGTTCTCTCTCATCGATGTTTCTGTCTCTCTCTACCTTTCCCTTTCTCTCTCTCTAAAAATCAATAAAGAAAAAAAAAAATGTCGCCCTGGCCAGTTTGGCTTAGCGGTTAGAGCGTCATCCTGAAGTCCAGAGAGACCCAGGTTCGGTTTCCGCTAAGGGCACGTACCTTGGTTGCAGTTTGTCCCCAGTCCTGGTTGGGTCGTGTGGGAGGTAGCCACTCGATGTGTCCCTTTCACGTCGGTTTCTCTCTCTCTCTTTTCCTCTCTCTCTCTCCACTCTACTATCTGAACAAAAAATAGAAAAATGTCCTTGGGTGAGGATAAAAAAAATATATATATATCTAACTATTGCTAAGCCAACATGGATGCTAAGGAGCACAAGGACTTAAAGTCTGAGAACCTATGTGGAAACCAGCCTCATTTCTCAAAGTACAGGCTCAGGACAAGGAACTAGCTTTCAGTCTGCATTAACAGTCAACTTACAAGCCAGGTAAACCACCCATGGAGTCCTCCTCACATTAACCTTAGTATCTACAACATGCTGCCCAGCTCCTCAGTTTGAAACTGGGCCAGCATTTCTAGAATACAATTATATCCATTTCTCCTTATTAAAAATTCTAGTAGCTATATTTTAATATAGAAAAACACAGAGAGAGGGCTATTCAAGAACAAAAGTTAGTTCATGTGTCCATAAATACCACCCCACCAAAAAATATCAAACAGTTAATTAGAAAAGGATGGGAAGTTGCAAAGTATTCTGAAAAGGACGCAAACAAAAAAGAGCTCCCTTTTACAAAATGGCATGACTTACTCTTCTTTTTCTTCTTTGTGCCCCCCAAAGCTGAGTGCAGAGCATTCAGAAACCAGGACAAAAAGTCGACTCCATCCCCTGGAAAAGAAGGGAGGAACATGTCGAAGCTGGGAGGCAGTATGATATACCAAACCACATGTTCCTGGTTTCCTCCTTCCTCTTGGGCCACACCATCCTGTCCCCTGGGCATCCTCCTAATTTTGGCCATTATATGCTCAAGGTCAAACTCTTAGTCTGCTGATCTTTATTGTCTCCCAAAGCTCTCTGCTCCAACCAGGACCTTCAATTACCATCTCTACTCCAAGCCTGTATCTCATTGCCCAGAAAAAGCCATTACTGAACTGTCCCTCTAAATCACTCCTCAGCCAGAATAATATTTTCAAACATGTATCTGATATCATATCTTCTCTTAAAAGCCTTCACTGACTTCCTGTTATTGTCAGGATATAATATAATCCAAGCTCCTTATAGTGCCATATAAACCCAACAAGCACAATCTAATCCCTCCCTCCCAACCTCCATTCAGCTCTCATTCTCCCCTGGAATTGAAGGGTCCAGCTAATTGCAATCTTCTGCCTGGGCCAGGCACCTCCATGTGTCTGTACACAGTGTCCTCTCTACCTGGAATGCCCCTGACCTGTCTCCCCCTCTACCTAAAACTCAGGTGTCTCATCCTCCACTCTGATGCCCAGCCCACCTCCCACAAGTTCGATCTGGGTCCTTGTTCCATGCTCTCTCCCACACAGCATACTTTGCTTCCTCGATCACAGCATTTTACACCCTGTAATCACCCTTTTACATAACTATCTTCCCCACCATGATGGGAACTCCTAGAAGAGGAAAAACTGTGTTTCTTGTCCCTACAGCTCTAAAACCTAGCAGCACCATGAATGAATGGTGTATAAACTAACATGGATGCTAGAGGATACTACATGAGATCCAGGTGCTAAGAGCTACATGTCCACTTTACTCACATGACAATAACTAATTGGATTTTGGAGGGATGAAAACAGTCAAAATAGTTCATCAGAATATTCTATTCCGCAACACGACAAAATGAGTAGCAAAGGTGGCATGATGCTTAATAAGGGTTGGCGTCTTTTCCCAGCTTCCTGTTCTTCACCTGAGCCATACATGTTAGTTTACCAAGTTAGACAGACTATCTAGCCACTTAAAATCTCTTGAGAATCTGATCTGGGCAGGCGGATGAAAAAAGAATGTAGAACCTAAACACACTATCCATTGCACACGCACTCTAGCTATTATAAGGTTCAATGCAAAGTGGAAGTAACTTTGTTCATCAAACTAGTTTTGTTGCCCTAAAATAAAAAAATATGAACGAGCTGCTCCTTACCTTGTTTGGTGATCTGAAAAGTCTTCTTGCTGCAAAGGACAACAGCCTGAAGCATCTCATGGGGAGAGACATGTGCCTTGAAATTTCGAGGGTTCCAGAGCTTTCTCATCAGCTCTCCAAAACGCTGGACCAACAAGAACATGATATCCCCTGGAGGACGTTTGATGGTTTTATAATTGTCTTCTTCCAGGAAGTAGTTCCGAAGAGGAGGAACATTAGACAGAGCCTGGAAGTCAAACACTCTAATTAATCCAAAACCCCTCTGCAAGGCCCCTGGAAGCCAAGCTCTTCCAACTAAAGTTCTTTTAATAGAGCTGTGCCTGCGACAGCCTAAAAGAGTCAGAAGTAAACGATACATTCAGAGGTCATGTTACAGCAACATCTTTCATGTTGAGTTTCACACAAAGTCCAATTCTGCAGATACTTTGCTGACGTGGATATGACACGAGTTGGTTTTTTTTAAGATATGCAAATCTCTATTCACCAACCAGCTTATTTAATAATTTTATTTGTTTACTCTAAATCTGTGACTATGTTTGAATTCATAAGAAATTAAAAGCTTGCTCTGGCCGGGTAGCTCAGTTGGTCAGAGCATCCCAATACAACAAGGTTGTGGATTTGATCTCAGTCAGGGCACACACAAGAATAACCCAATGAATGCATAAATAAGTGGAACAAGAAATCAATGTTCCTCTCTCTCTCTCTCTCCCCCCTTCCCTCTAAAATAATTAATTAATTACTTAATTAATTAAATTTTTAAAAATTAAAGGCTAGAAACCCAAATGCTCTTCACCATCCATTTGGTTTAGGCAGAAATAACTATCTGGAGACCACAGTTCCCCCTCTCTCAAATGCACATTAAAATAATTATTAAAATCATCTTACTAAAATTTGGTATTTTCCCCAAATGTGGTATTGAAGGGTGGTAATAAAACTACAGAACTGTATATAAAAATAAATGTCCTGTTATGATGCAAAATAGTCAAAAGGAACAAAAATAAATTTTAGCTCATTAAGCTGAAAGATACAGACCAGCCACGTTAGTTCAGCAAGGCAAACATGCTCATTAGTGTGGGCTACAAAACTGGGGAGGAGACCACAGAACACACTCAAAATAAATGCAGTCTCACCCCTGGTCCTCCCTGACAAGTTCATGAATCCTTACTAGCACTGGGTTTACTAGGAGCACAACTTTCTTTGGCAAAGTAACCCATTTAGGGAAAAGGACAGAGGGTTCTGCTAAATACAATAAACCCAGGAGAAGTTGGGAAAGAAAACTCAGGATGCAGAGAGCACCATGACCTTAGAGGTGATGAGAAAAGCTCCCTGTAAGCTAAGTTCAGCTAAAGAAACAAGGACTTCCTGCTTAGAGAGTAATTGTTAAAAAAAGAGGGTTCCTCTCAAATGGAAAGGAGTATGGTTCTCAAAAAACTACAGGACACTGAAAAAAGAAATGGAGAAAGATATAAAAAAGTAGAAACATATACCATGTTCATGTATGGGAAGAATCAACATCATTAAATGTCCATATTACCCAAAGCAATCTACAGATTCAATGCAATCCTTATTAAAGCACCAAAGGCATATTTCATAGATCTAGAACAAATACTCAAAAATTTACATGGAAAAAAACAGACTCTGTATAGCCACGGAAATTTTTTTAATGTTTTTATTGACTTGTTAGAGAAAGAGAAGAGAAAGATAGAAACATTGATGTGAGAGAGAAACATCAACCAGCTTCCCTGCAGAGGATTGAGCCCATAACCCAGGCAAGTGCCCTGACTGGGTACTGAACCGGGACCTCTCAGTCCATGGGACGACACTAAATCCACTGAACCACACTGGCTGGGCTAGCCAGAGCAATATTGAAAAAGAAGAACGAAATGGGAGGGATCACCATACCAGATATCATGTTATACTACAAAGCCATCATAATCAAAACAGCCTGGTACTGGCACAAGAACAGGTATATAGATCAATGGAGCAGAACAGAGAACCCAGAAATCAACCCAAGACAGTACGTGCAATTTGACAAAGGAAACGAGCATACAATGGAGAAAAGACAGTCTCTTCAATAAATGGTGTTGGGAAAATTGGACAGGTACATGCAAGAAAATAAAACTAGACCACTAACTTACACCATACACAAGAATAAAATCAAATAGATAAAAAACTTAAATGTAACTCATGAAAACATAAAAATCCTAGAAGAAAATGTAGAGAGAAAGATCTCAGACATTATCTGTAGCAGAATTTTCACTAATAAATTACCTATGGCAAGAGAAACAAAGGAAAAATTTAAGACATGGACTACATCAAACTAAAAAGCTTCTATATGGCAAAAGAAACCAGCATCAAAATGGAAAGGGAACCCACTCTCTGGGAGAACATATTATACACCGGATAAGAGGTTAATATCCAGAATATACAGAGTACTCATACAACTCAACAAAAGGAAGATAAATAATCCAATCAAAAGTGGGCAGACACCTCTTCAAACAAGACAAATGGTCAAGAGATATGAAAAATGCTCAACAGCACTAATAATCAGAGAAATGCAAATTAAAACGACTATGTGATATTACCTCATACCTACCAGAATGGCTGCCATCAACAAATCCTCAAGTGCTGGTGAGGATGTGGAGAAAAAGGTACTCTAGCACACTGCTGGTGGAAATGCAGACAGATGCAGCCACTATGGAAAACACTATGGTGCTTCCTCAAAAAATTAAAAATGGAATTGCATTTGATTCAGTGATTCCACTTATAGAAATATATCCTAAGAAGCCTGAAACACCAATCAGGAAGAATATATGCACTCCTATGTTCATAGCAGCACTATTTACAATAGCTAAGGTCTGGAAACAACTCAAGTGCCCATCAGTAGATGAGTGGATAAAAAAGCTGTGGTACATTTACACAATGGAATACTATGCAGCTGTAAGAAAGAAAGATCTCTTATCCTTTGAGACGACTTGGAGGGACCTGGAGAGTTTTATGCTGAGCGTAACAAGCCAGTCAGAGAAAGACAAATACCACATGATCTCACTTATTTATGGAATACCATAAACAAAATAAGCTGTCAATCAAAATATGTCCAGAGTCATGGAAGTAGGGAACAGACTGACAAACCTCAGAGGGATAGTGGGTGGGTGGGTGGTGGTTAGAAAGAGATAAGCCAAGGAACTTATATAAATATATGCACAACCAATGGACACAGATATCAGTTTGGGGGGAGAATTGGGAGGAGGGGGGTCAATAGGGGGAAAAAAGAGGGGGACATCTGTAATACTTTCAACAATAAAAAATTAAATTTAAAAAAAAGAGTATGGATAAAGTTTATCCTAATTCTCAGTTACAGTCATCCCCCGCCACTTCGTGCTTCAAGTTTCATGGCTTCGGTCTATCACAGTTTTTTCAAATATATTCATTAAAAAGTTGTCGAGATAGTGAAAATGATACAGCGCGCGCTTGGTTGTCTGAGTCAATTAAACACCCCTGTATTACAATTAAAATTAAAATTACTGTACGGCCCTGGCCGGTTTGGCTCAGCGGTTAGAGCGCTGGCCTGCGGTCCGGAGAGACCCAGGTTCGGTTCCCGCTAAGGGCACGTACCTCGGTTGCAGTTTGTCTCTGGCCCCAGCTGGGGTCATGTGGGTGGCAACCACTCAATGTGTCTCTCTCACGTCGATGTTTCTCTCTCTCTCCCCCTTCTCTCCTGCTCTATCTGGAGATAAATGCAAAAATGTCCTCAGGTAAGGATTATAAAAAAAGATGAGGCTCCAACCAACTAAGCCACCTGGTCAGGACTTTTTTATAATTTTTTATACTAAATTCTTTATGCAAAAATACCATCAACAAATTTTAAAAGCCAAACAAGAACTGGAAGAAAATATCTGCAAAATACACAATAGAAAAAAGCTATCGTATTTCTTAAAGCTCATTAAAATGAACCACCAGTAGAAAGTGACCACAGCCCTGGCTGGCATGGCTCAGTTGGTTGGGTGTCGTCCCATGAACTGAAGGCTTGCCAGTTTAATTTCTGGTCAGGACACAGGCCGGAGTTGCCTTATGTTTCGCATCAATGTTTCTCTCCCCTCCCCCCCTTAAAATAAATTTTAAAATCTAAAAAAAGTTTTAAAAAAAGGCAAAAGTGACTACATAAAACCCAACAATTCATGAAAAAATGTATAATCAACTTCAGAAGCAAATTTAAAAAAAGAGATATCTATCAAAATAGAAAAAAGATTTCAGTGGTAACAGTGACAATGCAAGATAAAGAACACTATTTCGTATTGCTGGTAGGCTTACAAATTGCTACCAACCCTCTACAACCTAGAATCTAGGTCCCAGATGCATTAATACAAGAAGTGAAGATTAAATAAATATAACAAAATGTAACATTGTCACATAAAGTATAAAACAAGAATAGAAGGATATTTACTGTAAAACTGGTAATAGAAAAAAATGAGACAAGTTAAATTTTCTATCAATGGGGAACAGCAAAATAAAGCATGACATTGCCACACAACAAAATATTATGCATTTCTGCATATGTGTTTACAAAAAAGTTCTGGAGGTCTATCAACTGTAAACTCCCCCAGGACAGAGTACTAAGGAAAGAAAGGAATTAAGCTTTCTACATCTGTTTTTCCCTGTTTCTGTTTTTTTGGTAAAGCAGGATTATTGTTAATTTTCTTACTTACGCTTACCAATATTTTCTAATTTTTCTAAAATGTGCACATATTACTCATGTAATTTTTTTTCTCTCTCTCATGTAATTTTTAAAATAACACTTAATTACAAATAGAACAACTTTCGATTTCTGCCTTTCCCACTTCAGGGCTTAAGCACACAGGCAGGACCAAGACACCTGAAAGCTGGCACAATGAACGTTTGCATCATAAAAAAAGGCATCACAAAAAGAAAAAAAGAAAAAAGGCATCACAGCCCTGGCTCAAGAGTGGTTCAGTTGGTTGGGCACCGTCCCATGCACTGAAAGGTCACCAGTTCCATTCCCAGTCAAGGCACATGCCCAGGTTGCAGGCTCGATCCCCTGTAGGGGACATGCAGGAGGCAGCCAATTGATGTTTCACTCTCACACTGGTGTGTCTCTCTCTCTCTCTAAAAATCAATAAAAATATTTTTTTAAAAATGCGTCACCTAGCATGTGCATTTTCTACTGAGTATTGCCAGGCCACACGCAGATTCTCTCCTATTCCCTGGCAGCTCCAGACTCTAGAAAAGGCCTCACCATTTGGCAGCAAATACTCAGAGTCCTCAGTAAGTCTCAGGGTCTGGGGACCAAGTGACTGCACTCTATCAGAGGTAGTCATTTCTTGGCTGACCTCCAGTGTTCCCTCACCACGCCTCTCCCTCCCCATTCCCTCCTTGATCCTACCTGAAGGACAGCATTGGCATAGTCGTTGGCCTTTATGTTATTCAGGCCCACAATACCTGGCAGGTAAGTGGTACCATCATATGCCCGGGACAATTTGGCTTGCTTGTCCAAGTTCGCAATCTGCTGCTTTGTGAAAGTGGGCTTCAACACATACTGCAAAGCAAAAGAAAGTTCTAAGTTGTTTTAGGACTATCTACAGAGTTCACAAGATATATCTGGAACAGCAATTTCTGCCAAAAATAAAAAACCCTTTGGTCATGAACATCATACTATACACCCAAAGAGCTCCCACAACAGTATAAAAACTGAAGTAAAATGGAATAGGCCCTCTCCACATTACTGTTCTAGAAGGGGATCTCTGAATCACTGAATCTCAGGTTTTCCCTCAAACAACAGGTCCAGCCAACCCTATGACAAATCACTGCCAGAAGCTGCAGGACACTCAGTCTCTATAGGCAGCAGGGGTAAGAGGCAGCACAAGGACCCAGTGCAGAGCAGGTGCGCCTTGACCCCAGTGTGCAAGACTGAGACCTCATGACTCCCTGGGGTTGGAGGGGAAGGATCAGATCCTTCCCAGTCCTAGTGCTACTGTGTCATGTCACAGGCTGAACAGAGGTTGCCACTAACTCCCTTTGAAACCTTGACTTTGTTTTCCCTTCTGTAAATACTGTCTATAACCTCTTTAACTTCAACTATTAATATGCCTAAAATATTATAATAGCATAAGCAGTATTTCAAACACTCTGAATATCCAGCTTTCCTTAAAAATAGAGCATTCAGCCCTGGCCGGTTTGGCTCAGTGATTAGAGCGTTGGCCTGCGGTCCAGAGGCCCAGGTTCAGTTCCCACTAAGGGCACGTACCTCGGTTGCAGTTTGTCCCCGGCCCTGGTTGGGTCGTGCGGGAGGCAGCCACTCAATGTGTCCCTTTCACATTGTTTCTCTCTCTCTCTCTCTCTCTCTCTTCCTCTCTCTCCCTCCCACTCTGTCTGAACAAAAAAATGGAAAAATGTCCTTGGGTGAGGATTAAAAAAAAATAGAGCATTCAGCACAGTGAATATGCAGCCACTGGCTGAAAAGGAAAATAATAATCCAAAGTTCCAACATTAATCAAAGTCCAAGACAACTTTCCATGCTTTCCACTTAAGTACAGCGACTCTTGGCACAGGTCACAAACAGGAGCCCAGAGATGGGACCGGATGGCCATTCTGGCCACATCATGTCAAAAGCAGGAGGAGGACTGCAGCTTGGTATGCACCGTCCTATGCCAGGCCCAATTCACATCCTTACTCCAAGTGTAGAAATATAACTTATTTCATAAAAATGCTTTCGCCTCAATTAGTAAGCAGCCATATTTTTTCAGTCTCAACCCTCAACATTAAAAGAAGAAATGATGGCTAGGCTGTAGACCATAGGCCATAATTATGCATCCTGACCTCCTTACTTGGTTTCCCCTAGTTCCCTCCCAAAGAGAAAGAAACCTCTTCAGACGAAGGGCATGAAATTCTTCCCTGGGTGGGGCAGATCCCAGGATCCCTGGGATGGCTCTCAGGAGACCTGGTTCCAAACCGGCCCTCTGGGACACACACCGTGATATCTTCCAGAGAGGAATCGATGATCTCATAGTTGTCTGGAAGGCAGTAAAACTTGAGGGTGTGGAGGTTGAGGAAGACATGGTGGCTAAACTGGACACTGTGAATATAGGCATGAGACTTCAAACCCCGGCCTGTAAGAGAGGATAAAAGGCTGTAGAGATAGCAACAATAATAATAAAAAAATAAAAGGCTGTAGAGAAAGGGGCATATTCCAGAAGGGCACAGATCAAGTTTGGTTTTCCTTTCATAATTTTGTACTGGAATGTGTTAATATTAGCAAAAACAAAGTACTATGCCATCCATGAAATGAGTCTCCCATTTGAACTTCTCTCATCACAGAAGGTAGCAAGAAAGAATAGGATGATAGTTACTTTATCCCCTATATGGCATAAAACACTGGCTGGGGAAACTAATTCCATATGTATGAATATAAAATACAACTTATATGTATGTGTATATATGTATGTATACATACATATGAATTAATTTCATATATTATCAAAATTAGGAATGTCTATGTGCATATTAATATATAATGCACGCACATACAGACATAGATATGCACATATACATATCCTGTGACTGTCCATCATTACTCAGTCCCGACTTTCCAAATGCCCACACTCAGGACAATCCTGCACCTAAAGTACCTTAGTTCATTGTTGTCACTCCTTCTAGAATCTCTCTCCCTTAATTCATTCAAAACCTTTAGGACCTGCCAGTTCAAGTCCCACCTCCATCTCCTCCATGAATTCAACACAAACTCTCCCACTAATAATGATCTTTGTATATTTCAACTCCTATGTCCTCATTGACACTCAGTGCCACACAGTCTAGAAGTGATATTTAGTCTATTTATAGAGTTTGTTGAATGTTTTATGTGTTAACCTTGACTATAAGATCCTTATAAGAGCAAGGGATGTAGTTAATATTTCTTTTGAATCCTCCACTATGCTATGTACATAGCATTTGTTTTGAATAAATTGAAGTAATACATCCCTAGAAAAGAACAGAATAAAAAAGTCCTTAGAGCCAAAGGATTCTCAGACCAAAGATTCAAAAATCCAGAGTCTTTGGGATCTCCTACATAGTCTTTCACATTAGTTCTTTCCCCCTTTCATATGTATTCGGGTTCTAACCAATCAGAGAACCGTCTATTGATTTTCTCAGAGTACTCTAATATCCTGGGAACAAAAACACGGACTGTTAGACATGACTCCTAACAGCAGACAGTTTCTTTAAAAAAAAATCTCTCTGGAGCAGACCTGCGGCTGATGCTGAAAAATGTGTAGGTTTATAATGCAAATATTTATTTACCCTGAAAGTACTTGCCACACACCAGACAGGCATATGCATTGATATGGGAGAGGGAGATGGAACACAGTTTCTCAAAGTCAAAGTCCAGCACACTCCTAAGAAAAACAAAACAAAACAAAAGCAATTAATAGGGATGGACGTCTAGGAGAGCACCCAAGTGAAGCAGCCCTGGCTCCGTGCTCCACAATGTCACACAGCATCCTGCAGAGATGGCTCAATAGCCACATATAAACCATGGCCACCTATAGTATCACCTAGCACATAGTGGCGCTCAATAAGTATTTAAGTTTACTATTGTCATTGACACCATGTATCCCACTATTTCATCAAACAAATTCAAAATGAGCTAAAAGCTCTTTATGCCTAAGCCCACCCTAAAACAAAATGCCCTCTGACACTTTAAATTGAAGAGCAAAGATTAATAAATATAGCAAGAAGCATAATTTTCTGGGCAGAAAGCTTTAAAAAGGATAAAATCTTTAAATGTGTTGTTCAATGTGCATTCCAAAGAATTTCCTACATTGTTCTTTTGCTGCCCTCACATCCCTGTCCAACTAACCTGTTAATGGTATCCAGGTATGGGCAATGGCGGCTCCTCCGGTCCTCAGAATCCACGCGGCCATTTTTGGCTGAAAGGAAAATCATCACAGGCTGTGAAAACTGGAAACCGTACTCAGGGTCAAATAACAGTAAAACAAAGAAACAAATGGGAAAAACTAATCAGGGTGAGCTCCTATACATGTGGCCTGGCAACACCCCAAAAAGCTCACTAATGGAACAAGCCACAAATTGAGAGAATATATTTGAAACACACAAAACCCACAGATGATTTGTTTGCAGATTACATAAAGAAATCTCGTGAAGCAATAAAAAAAGACAATCCAATTGAAAATTACTACAGACCACAAATATGAAAAGATGCTCAACTTCATCAATAATCAAGAAAATGCATATCTCCTTGCACAATGATACACCACTTCACACCTACCAGAGGAAAAAATAAAATCAGAAAATTCCAAACATTGGCTAACATGTGGAACAGAGAGAGAATGCTCACATATTGCTGGTGAGAGTGAGACCTGTTACAACCTCTCAGAAAATAGTACAGCAAGATCAAAGCTAAAAATATGCAGACCCTTTGACCCAGCAACCTCTCTATTTATATACTGTACAGAATTTTTTGCACACATGTACCAGGAGTATTTTACTAAAAAATATTTATAGCACAGCTGGTGTGCACCAAGAGATCACTGGTTCGATTCCCGGTCAGGGCACATGCCCAGGTTGTGGGCCCAATCCCCAGTGGGGGGGCATGCAGGAGACAACCTATTGATGTTCTCTCTCATGGATGTTTCTATCTCTCTCTCTCCCTCTTCCCCCCTCTCTCTCTAAAATCAATAAAGAAAAAAAAATTTATAGCACCAAGTTCAGAGCTCAAACTGGAAACAACCCAAATGTCCACAAATAAAATGGAGAAATCTATTCTGACATATCATTAATGGAATACTATGTAGCCATGAACATCTATCTGGATGAACCTCAAAAATATGGCTAGCAAAAAGAAAAAGGCAAATCAGAAGACAGTGTGATCCCACTTATATCAAATACATAATAAAAGACAGTACTACTTAGGGATACATATAAAGCAGAAGTGACTAGAAAAAAAATTTCAGACGTGATTACCTAGGCAAAGAAGGCAGATATAACTGGAAAGGGGCCTGTGGGAGCTTCTAAGGTGCTGGTTATATCCCACTTCTTAACCTGAACAATGTTAGGAAATAATTCTCCATGAGTCTCGTCTTGTTTCTGCACATATTGTGACTAGCAGCAATAACTGCCTCCGGACTATCTTGTCAAAGGTGTTAGTATAGTGAACAACCTTGGAAAACAGAGACAGTATCTCTCTCTAGAGCAAAGGGAAAGCAATCTCACAGTCCATTCTAAAAGACTCGGGATCTCTAAACTCAGAGGTCCTTTCCTGCAGGTTGAATGACTAGGCCCACTGGTTCCCTTCATGTTTCACTATAGGAAGTGACTGGGGAAATGACACCAAGGCTACATTCTTGCTACTGTTACTACTGTAATAAATTGTCTGAGGCCCAATAGTCCCATGTCTTCCTTCAGCTCCCATGAAACTGCAACCGGCTAACTTGGTAGCTTGCAAACAGAGTAAATAAAATCTTAGAACCTTCACAATTTTTTTTTTTTTTTTTTTGAGAGAGGGAGAGAGAGATAGAAATATCCATTGACTGTCTCTTCCACACCCCCTTACTGGGGATCACGCCCCACAACTGGGGCATGGGCCCTTACTGGGAATCAAACTGGTGACTTCTTGGTGCATGGGACGATGCCACACCAGCCGGGCCACAATTCTTGATAAGAGGTAGATATAAGAGTGTACATCCAGGCCTGGCTGGTGTGGCTCAGTGGTTGAGCGTCGACCCATGCACCAAGAGGTCACTGGTTCAATTCCCGGTCAGGGCACATGCCCAGGGTATGGGCTCAATCCCCAGTGTGGGGCATGCAGGAGGTGGCCAATCGATTTTACCTCTCATGGATGTTTCTATCTCTCTCTCCCTCTCCCTTCCTCTCTCTCTAAAAATCAATAAAGAAAAAAAAGTCAACCAATGAATGCATAAAAATAAGTGGAAAAACAAATCAATGATTTTCTCTCTTTCAAGTCAATAATTTTTTTTTTTTTTAAAAAAGAGTATAATAATATATAGATAACCAGGACCAGATGCAGAATTATCAAGTCTTGGAGAATGAGGAACACCTCCCACCGAACCTTGTCCCAAGCATGTAGCCTGGTAATACCATTCACCTGCTACTTCAAATAGGGTCCTACTAACTCTCCAGAAACAAGTATATGTTCAAATCAGGAGCTCCAAGTTCAGAGAAGCAAAACATGTAACTGAGGTAAGCAAGAAAAGTTTCATAAGTACCGTAAACCTATTTCATGATTAGTAAGAATCAACAAGTTGAAAACTTAGAAGCAGAATGAGTGCAGAGGAAAGGGGGGTGCAGTCATGGGGGTTGGGGGAGTGGCACTGGCAGTCCTGAGAAAGACTCTCAAAGGTCATAAGTTCCAGGACTCCTACCCTAACTTAGAGAAGCACAAACACGTGAAACCCGCTTTCCCAAACCACAGCGACTCTGAGTTAGGATTAGAATCCAGACCTCCCGGGATAACAGGTGCCAGAGCCCAGCGTTCAGTGTGTCAATCCTGAATAGTCTAATTCCAGAAAGTACAGCAAGACTCCATTCCCACGTTTTGTAAAAACTGAAGGAGGTGACACCTGTAAAACAATTAGCACAACGCCTGGCCCGCGTTAGGCATTCGACAAAGGAAACCTGCTGCTGTTTATTGCTACTGTGAAAGATACAACTGTTGTTATTACTGAGACGCACTATGCCCTCCTTATGACGCAGTCGAGGTCGCGTCGCGGAAACCGGGGAAGGGATCCCCTCCCTGGGGAGGAAAGGTTGGAAAGGGAAAAAGGAGAACGCGAGATTAGAGCCCGAGCCCAGCCCGGCCCCGCGCACCTCGCACCTCCCGCTCAGGTTCAGAGTCTTCGTCCGCCTCGCGCTCCCGTTTCACCCGCACCGCCGGCACTACGGGCGCCGGGGCCTCGCGCGCGCTCGCCGGCTCGACCTCCCGCTTCACGCGCACCGGGCTGCCCCGGGAGATCGGCGCTTCGGGCTCCCGCTCCCGATCTCGCTCCCGTTTGACGCGACCCGAGCTGACCCGTGACTCGGATTCGCGCTTCCCGCGGGTGGAACCACGAGACTCCCGCTTGGACCGGCTGGACATAGCCACTACCGGCAGAGTCGCCCTGCGCAGGGCCAGGCAATCTGGAGCGCGCGGCAAGCAGCCAATCAGGAGCAGCGCTGTTATCCAGCCAAGGGGCTCTACGAGTCCCCGATGGGGACAAATCACGCCACAGGAAACTAGGACGTACTTGTGCCTCTTGCGGCCACTTTGCCGATGCGTGCGCAGCTGAAAACGATCTGTGGGCCTACTGCCACCTTACCCGAAATTTCCAGCTTAAAGAAACTGGAACTTTTTTTTTCTTTATTATTTTTAGAGAGAAAGGAAGGGAGAGGAAGAGTCAGAAATACCGATGAAGGAAGCTGGAACTTTTTACTGGCTATGGAATTTATGGGTAAAAGAAGTCTGCAAGGGGTCCCAGAGTTCTTCAAGATACGTTGGGTCCCCAAACCAAAATTGGAGGGTCGTCTCCAGTCTCCGCCCTTGCACAGCAGAACTAAGCGTCAGGCCCTGCCTGCAGCAACCCGGAGTCTCTAATTCAACGTTTGGAGGGTTATTCTTGTTAAGGTACAAAAATGCAAACGTGGAACAGAGGAGACTTACAATGACACTAACAAAACAGGCGTCCGGACCTGTGACTTTCACCACCTGGAACTACTTTTTTTTTAAATTCTCATCTAATCATATTTTTCCATTTATTTTCAGATACAGAGGGAGGGAGAGAGAGAGAGAGAGACAGCAATGTGAGAGAGGCACATCCATTGGTTGCCTCCGGGAAGGGCCAGGGTAGGGACCAGACAAGTGAGGTCTGTGCCCTTGATCAGAATTGGAGACTCTGGTTCCCTGGAAGGTTGGTGCTCTAACCACTGAGCCCCAGGCCAGGTGGGAGCTATTTTCTTTGCAGTTCTACTGAGGTGTTTTGACATAAAATAAAACGCGCTTTTAAAGTATGCAGTTGAGCCTGGCAGGTTTGGCTCAGCGTTAGAGTGTCAGCCCAGGGACCAATGAGTTGCCGGTTTGATTCCGGCCAAGGGCACTGTACCTTGGTTCCTGGGTTGCAGTTTGTCCCAGCGCCGGTTGGGGTGGTGTGAGTGGCAGCCAGTTCATGTGTCTCTCTCACATGTGGGTGACAGCCAGTCGATGTCACATCGATGTTTCTCCCTTCCTTTCTCCCTCCCACTCTATCTGAAGATAAATGCGAAAATGTCCTTGGGTGAGGATAAAAATAAATATGCAGTTGTCTCAAAACTGCTAGGTATATGTATATACTCAGAAACTGAAACTGGAAAAGTCGCATTTGTGCTACCTGTCACTACCAGAACCAATGAGAGACAAGGACTGATTTGTAATTTTTTTTTTCTTTATTGAGAGAGGGAGGGAGAGACAGAAACATCCATGAGAGAGAACATCCATTAACTGCCTCCTGCATGCCTCCCATTGGGGATCGGGCCCACCACCTGGGCATGTGCCCTGACTGGGAATCAAACTAGTGACCTCTTGATGCATGGTCAGTGCTCAAACACTGAGCCACACACCAGCCGGGCAAGGATTGAATTTTCATTCTGAGAAGAGGGCAGGTTATTTACCTTGACAAGACTATTGTACATGTTATCTCAAGCCCAACCTTTTTATTTATTTATTTTTCCTCACCCGAGGACATTTTTGCATAAGGAAGAGAAAGAGAGACATGGACTGGTTGCCACCCACACAACCCAAAGTGGGTGGGGACAAACTGCAATCAATGTACGTGCCCTTAGCGGGAAGGAACCCGGGTCTCTCTGGACCGCCAGCTGACGCTCTAACCCCTGAGCCAAACCGGCCAGGGCTCAAACCCAACCTTTTAATGAGAAGGAATGTGTAGGTAAAGGGTTTGGAATTCAGGAGAAAGTAGTGAAGGGAGTTGGAATTCGGGGGAAAAGGTTAATCAGATAAAAGCTTGGTCCAGGCATCCCTTCATCTGCTGACCAGTGATACTTGATCTGCGTTCTGGGCAGTGGTTCTCTCCCTGGGGCACAAGGGCTCCGATACCATCTTGGCCCCTGCAGTTCTCCTGGGGCACAAGGGTCAAACTGAATTGCTTTCGGGCCTCCTGAGTCAGGTCAGGTCAGGTCCAGTCATACATTCCAGTCCCTGGAACAATAGCTTTCCACATGCATTAGTTACCAAGCCTACTAACTATACATCTAAAGCTAAAAAAGTTTTAACTTCTAGAGTTCTGCATCACAACCATCACCACGATCAAGATAATGAACCTCCCCACCTGCCCCAAAGTGTGTGCTTTGTCACGACAGGTTAGGTGGCGCCTCCTAGTTTCACAGGCACAGAAGCACAGGGCGGGTCCTTTCCGACGTGGCCCTTTCGCTCCCCGAAGTTGATTTTGAGATCGACCCACGTGGTGTCCGCCGCGCGGTCCCTCGGTTTGCTCAGCGATGTTCCGCCGTGCGTGCGCTCCACGTTTTGTCCCTTCTCTAATCACAGATCCCTAATCTTGTCTTTTTTTTTTTTTTTTTTTTTTTTAAGGAGAACTCGAAAATGGCACACATTCAGACCCCTGAAACACCCTGGGTCCTGCCGCGGGGGCAGCTAGGACATCAGGCCCGTGGGCGCCCAGCCGGGGGGATGGCAGAGCCGGGGCCGGGGCGGGCGTGGGCGCCGCTGCGTGTCCTGCCAGCGCACTCGCCTCCTCGCAAGCTCTTATGAGGTTGGCGCTCTCCGACCCCCATTTACAAACGAGGAAACTGAGGCACAGCGGGGTTCAGTAGTGCCCCGAGGTCACGCAGCTGGTGACGAAGTTTCACAGCACCCTGTCCCCAGAGAAAGGACGGGAGGCTCCGCGTCGAACGCTGAGCGCACCGGCGTCAGGTGCTGAACTGTCGGACGTACCAGCAGGACGTCTAAATTCTGGTTCCTCAACGTAACGTCACCGAGAAAGGCTGCGCACGTCCCACCACCCACCCGCTCGGGAACTCCGCGCGCGGTGCTGCTCGGCCCAGCGGCCCGTCGGGGGCGGAAGGTCGGGCGCGAGGCCGGAAGGCGGGCGCGGGGCGGTGCCGAGCTCTCCGGGCAGGAGCGCGGCGGTTGGGGCGGCGTTGGTTCCGCGCCCTGAGCTCCAGATGGAAGCGGCGCCGGATTCAGGGCCGGGCCTCTGCTGCAAGCCTGGCGGGCGGCTGGACATGAGCCACGGCTTCGTGCACCACATCCGACGGAATCAGCTCGCCCGGTACCGTCCCACCCCGCCACCCTTACCCCCAGCCCGGCCTGGCCCGGCCGGTTGTCCCTGACTCCCGCTCGGCTCCCCTCAGGGACGACTACGACAAGAAGGTGAAGCAGGCGGCCAAGGAGAAGGGGAGGAGGCGGCACGCGCCCGCGCCGGCGAGGCCCCGCAAGCCCGACCTGCAGGTGTACCTGCCGCGACGCCGAGGTGAGGCCGCCGCCCCGCCTGCCTCCGAGCTCGCGCTGCCTGCGGCCCGGGCCCCCTGCCTCGGCGCACTCCCCTGTCTGTATGGAAAACACCAACACTTACCTCCCCAAGGCTCAGTTCTCGGCGTCCCTCCCCGGAACCTCCACCTCGACGCTCCCCGATCTCCGCTCAGAGATTCTTCCTGGAGAACAGGGAGGGCTTCCGGCCCCCAGTTAAACTTCACTGTTATGGGACATCCCTGGGAGCCAGCAAGAAGTTGTCTGCCAGTTTGCCCTATCTTCCTGTATTTTCCTGTTCCCACTACCTAACACGAACAGGCTCAGCACAGCTGTGGGCGCCCAGGACATAACTGTGGAATGAAGCCCAAAGGCCTTTTCCCACAGCTTTCCTGAGACCTAGCGATCGCAATAGTCAACATATGTTGCCAGATTTGTTGAGCGTTATTTAAAGTGTCCTTAGGTCTTCTGTGCATTTATTAAGTCCTGTAGTTATCATAGGACCCTATAAAGTACGAACTGTTATTTCTGTTTCACAGTCAGGAAAACAGGCACAGAGAGGTTAAGTAACTTGCCCAGAATCTCAGCTGGTAAATGACAGAGCCTGGGTTTGAACCCAGGCACAGCTCTGTCCATCTCCCCACTACCTTCCAACCCTATTCACTAGACAAATGTGTATTGTATATCTACTGTGTGACAGGACTGTGCCGGCCCTGAAGCAGGGATACAGAGGTAAATAAAACTGACTGTCACTGCCTTTCATATACAGACACTCATAAAAAGATTGGGGCTTTTATCTCTGCGGTCAGGGCCTCCAGCAGCCTTCCCCTCTTTCCTCTCACTCTGGTTCATCCTTCTAGATGGCTCTACCCACCCAAGCAACCCAGACTGTGAGGAGTCCGGTGAAGGCAGCAGTAGTGGCGGCTCCCAGCCAGAGCCTTCTGGCCATCAGCTCTTCTGCTTAGAATATGAGGCGGACAGCGGAGAGGTCACATCAGTTATCGTGTATCAGGTACGCCTGGTGGAAACAGCTACAGCCTGAAGGTCCTAGGAACTGGTAGAAATCACTGCCAGCCCCCGAGCCACTGTTTTCATCAGGGTCAGAGGGAAGTGTCTGCTCCACATGGGAGTATAAACTGCTTGGCAATGCTTCGAGCACAATTCCCATCACACAGTGATCCTTAATGGGCAGCAGGGAGGGCTCTTGGCCCTCATTTGAGAATCGCTGTTACAGGGGATATCTGGGAAATAACAGGCACTGACAAAAAGCTGTAAGTCAAATGGAGTTCTTGAGAGATTTGGCTAGGGACAGGGCAGGTCGCCTTTCCAGAAGAGGCCAGGCCCTGAGCTTCCTGACTCTTCCTTCACGTAGGACGATGACCCAGGAAGGGTGAGTGAGGAGGTGTCAGCACACACGCCTCTGGATCCACCCATGCAAGAGGCCCTCAAGTTGCGCATCAAGGAGGAGATTGCAAAACGCCAGAGCCGAGACTGACCAGGCTGAAGGCATTCCCTCCAGGCTGGAGTCACTGCCCAGGGAACTCACCCCTAGTTAGGGGATGCCAGGATCATTCTGGGCTGGTCTTGACACACACATACCCTAGAGCAGGGTGTTGCAGGAGTCATGCCTGATCACCTCCCTTGTAGCCATTCTTGTATATTGGCCTATTTGACCAGCCTAATTTGGAATTTTAGAGAATTTTGTGTGGCTAGCTTGGTGTTCTAGAAGCAGATACTCCAGGGAGAGGCCAAGGTTTATGAAGCCTCATGCCAACGTGCTGCTTTCTCACTGAGTTCCTATGTGCTGGGATATCTGGCCACTGCTGCGCCACCCAGCTCCATAGGCCATATCTGTTACTTTGTGGTTCCTTCCTACTGTGCTTTTGCTCACTTTCATTTATGTTTTCCTAGATCTTTTTTTTACCTCTGTTTCATTGTTCTTTTTTTTCCCCCCCTGTTAATCCTCACCCAAGAATATTTTTCCATTGATTAGGTAGAGTGGAAGGAAGGGAGAGAGGAGAGAGAGACATTGATTGGTTGCCTCCCACACAATCCCAGCCAGGGCCAGGAATAGAACCTGAGACCCTTCAGTCAGCAGGCAGATACTCTTAACTGCTGAGTAAAACCCGCCAGGGCTGTTTCTTTGTTCTCTATCTTTTTGTCTCAGAGTCCATCAGTTCTTCCCCACCCCCACCTCCCAGTATGACTGTGCACCTCCAGCTGCTCAGGACTTTGGAGGTATGGGGTCCTGGGAGGAGGTCTACCTTTCTGAGGAGCTCCCAGTAATCCTGATACCAACACAGTGAGAGATGTTCATTTTTGAGGCTAACTGGCAAGTATGCCTCCCTCCCTTTCCGTGGCTTTTTTTAAGTTTGTCATGTCCCACTGCTTTACACTGTCTAGATAGGAGACTTAGGAAGATGAGGCCAAAATTAAATTGCAAGGATTTCTTGCAGCAATACCTGCCTTGGTTAGGACTATAAATTCTAGCTTTCAACCTCATCCCTAAAGGGAAATTTTCAAAACATGCTTGAAACTGCCTCTTCAGATGTGATTCAACAGTCTTGAAGGTACATACAAAGAGAAATTCAACAGCAATAATTGCCTGTTTGGAATCCTAGTTGCAAAGGAAAAAAAGCCCAAACAATGCCACAGAGGAAGTGGAATGATGCTTTCTTATATCTCTTCCCCTGCCCCATTCTTTCTCCTTTCCTGCCTTCTGAGAGTATATAATCTCCCAGTGGATCCTTAGAATAAAGATCCCAGGAGTATCAGTGCTTTCACCTAAGTGAACATTTTCCCTAATGCAGGGTTAGGCTAAGGTTGAGAAATCTACACGCCATCTTGTACACTGCAGTCCCGAGCCACTTCAGTTTTCCAGCATATTAGCCTAACCTCAGTGACTTGAAAATTGGGGTTTACACGAGCTGGTGAGCACTGAGACTTCTTGAAACCAAAGTCCCCCTGCCTCAGGGGTTTCTTCACATCAGGGTCTCAAGATCAGTCTGGCTGGTTCATCTCAGAAGCTTTTCTCTTAAAGGATACCTGAGGACACTCTTAAACTACATTATTAAAATGCAGCTATCCACAGCTAGCAGTGACAGGAATGCCAGGAAGGTGAGTGAGGTGGGTAAGTTAGAAGGGCCTGCTGTGAAGAGACCAGAGTGCTCCTGACCCACAGAGCTGGCCCAAGGTTAAAGGCCTTAAATTTGCCAGTCCTGGGCTCAGTTCTACTTTTAAAGGAGAAAGTCTGCCCTCTATTTATTCAGCTGGACTCAAAGTGCCTTTTGACATAATGTTAACTACCCTCCAGAGCCTCCTGGGTCAAGGAGGCTGTGCCATCCCAGTTTCCCTGCAGCTCAGAGGACCAGGCATTTTAGTCTTCCAGCTCTTCAACTGATCTTCTGACTTGGACATGGGATTTCACTGGAACGCTTAGACTTCCCAGTCTGGAAGTATCTATGGGGTCCATCTCCTCTCAGCTGGATGGCCTGCTTCCTGGATTTATTATAGAATTTAGAAACAAGACCAGAAGAGGAAGTTGGGAATGTAGCACCCGAAATTTTAGCCTCCATTTCTGTTTTGTGAGAAGGGAAGCGTGTATTTATTGTCTTTCTGTGTTTGTCTTGTAATCCTCACTCAGGTAAGAAACTGGTGGAACTCCTTGCGTGTAAAATTTTTCTTGAAGCACTTTGCTTATCAAGTGCATGAAAAATATTTTCCACTCAAGAAAGTATTCTAATTCTGAGCTAATTTATTCAGTATGACTATATAAAGCACTAAGCCTGCTTTAGTGCTTAAATGGGAGGTTGTCCTTCAGAGCAGAACTGTTGATGAGGTAGCCAGTGCTTAAGGCGTGCCTGAAATGCTTCTCTGGTGATGGCCTTGGCCAGGAGACAGCTTTCTAGCACAGGCTCATGGCTATTGCCACCCATCATCTGGATCCAAGATGGCATTATCGTTTATTCCCAGACCTGCCTCCAGCTGTCTTTCAGCTTATTTCAAAAATCAGTGCTTTGCCATCAAGGAAAATGTTGAGAGCATTTCCACAGATTCAGATACGTCCCAGAGGGAACTGTCCCGTGCTGTGTGGTACAGTGGCAACAGTGTTGACTAGCTGGAGCTTTCTGGCAGGCTGCTTCGGATTCAACACTCACTTGACTAGATACATTTTTGGCTATCCAAAAAAAAAAAAGTCTGGTAGCCTGATAGGCATATCTCATGTCTATTTAAAATGAAGTGTTCTTGGCCCTGGCCAATTTGGCTCAGCAGTTGAACGTCGGCCTGCGGACCAGAGAGTCCCAGGTTCAGTTCCCGCTAGGGGCACGTACCACAAAAATAAATAAATAAATAAAAATAAATAAAATGAAGTGTTCCTTTACTTACTGAGGGTAAGCCTTCGATTTTAAGGTTTTGTGTTTCCTGGGCCAAAGCGGATGATGTTACTAATAGAAGGAAGCTGGGGTTTGCATGGGGCTTGGGCTCTGCAAAAATAAACACTAAAGCTTGAGTTCCAGCCAGTTGGCAAGCATGGAAATCTTTGACGAACATAAAGCAAGAAAAGAATATACAGCTTTTTTATTGAGAGAGAGAGAGAGTAGGAGCCTGTGGAGCCTGGCCAGACATTAGGAAAGACCAGCGTGGGCAATAGCAAATCCTTCCTATGGAAGAGCCTCTGAAAGAGAGATTCTACCAATTAGAGATTAGCCTGTGGACCTGGACGAAATCCTTTGGTGTAGTGGGTATCCAACCTGCTGCACAGTGAGATCTGTGGATGGTCGAGTAGTGGATTCCCAGCTGGTTCACAAATATAAATGAAGCCTTTACATATAGAAAGAGGAATAAGGACATTATTTTCCTACCTCTGAGCCTTTTGGGAGAATCGCCGTGGAATGTTGAAAATTATTTGAAACATTTTAAGCTCCTTCCATTTGAATTCCTATCCTGTCCCTGAGGATTTAAATGGCCAAGAAGCCAGACACCCACCCCAAATTTCCTGAGTGATTGGAGTGATGCTAGAAGTGAAAACCTGAGTGAATGGCTCCTCTACCTTTTTAGAACTACCAGAATGACAGACTGGTAAACTGGTTATGTTGTGATGTTAAATGTATAAAAAGCCATATAGTCTGTTCTCTCATTTCAATGTTTTTGCTATGTGGATGAATAAAGTGGAGTATGCAAATTATTTGAAAATCCTGGAAGGAAGGTACTTTTCAAAGACAGTATTCTTTTTAACCAATAAATATTTTTACAGCACTGTTTTGCCAAGAGTTGTGAAATCACTTGTGTATGTGAGGAAAGTGAAGACTAAATACCTGCTCTTAACGTCATTCAGCACCACAGAATCAGCACTTGAAATCTCATCTCTTGCTTTGCCTATTTTAAGAACTGTGCTGCTGGGAGCATAACATCTAGACTCACTTAGCTTTAGAACTGGAAGGGACTTTTAAAGACTTCTGGTCCTATTTGTCTGATACATGACTCTCTTCTACCAACTATCCATGAAGAGCCCTTCTGTCACAGGGAGCTCTATCTTGGGGTAACTCCTTTAAGAACTACTCATACTGTCATATTAAACCCAAATCTTCCTCCTTGTCACAGCTCTGGAGCACTTGTCTACCCACTTTACATTAAAACAGCCAGTTTAGAACCTGAATAGTCCTTTCAGGTCTTTCGAATGCTAAAAGTTGGACAGGAACACAAACCCAGGTCAATAAGATAGTAAATGTTGATTAAGAATGGCAAAGCTACTAATGAGATAGGAAATGCTGAGAGTTCATGGCACCATTGGGCAGATGAGAAAAATGGGTCTGCACCAATGGGAACACACCTGTGCAAGAAGATGATGCCTCTCTGAATTAGAAAGAGGTGCGCCTCTGTCCTGGGGCACAGCATGGCCAACAAAAGGTGTACTAAGTTTTACACCCCACTGGTCCATTCAGCCTGGTGTTTTTTACAGTAATTGCTCTGTACTGCCATACTTTAACTATTTGTCCTGATGCAATTTGGGAAAGGGCTCTCTTTCCATTTTTGTTTGGTTTTTATTTTATTTTTTCCTCCCTCTTTCCTTTTTTAACTGCCACTGGCTTCTTTGTCAAGCCGTTGTCTCACTTATCTGCCAATTTGCCTAACAATACTACCCTGTTGCCCTGGCCAGTTTGTCTCATGGGTTGGAACCTCGGCCTGCGGACCAGAGAGTCTTGGTTCCATTCCCGCTAGGGGCATATACAATAGATAGATAGATAGATAGATAGATAGATAGATAGATAGATAGATAGAAGATAATAATAATAATAATAATAATAATAAATACTAGTCTGTTTACCTTTGCCTCAGTAATTCTGGGCAAAGGGAAACCGGCCTCCTGGCAGCCTGGGCCCATCCTCCCTTAAGGTAAATGATCCATTGGCCCCAGTGTTGTCTTACAAGGGCTCTCAACATTCTGAGCTTTCTTTTAGGGTGCCAGGCACCCTTCTGATGTGTGTAAGGGACTATTCTGCTCTTTTAATTAGGAACAGAACCAAGAGGGCACTCTTGGCCTATAAGTGTTTTGGTTTTTTTTAAATAATCAGGAGCAGCCCTGGCCGGTTTGACCCAGCGGTTAGAGTATCGGCCTGCGGTCCTGAGAGACCCGGGTTCGGTTCCCGCTAAGGGCGTGTACCTCGGTTGCAGTTTGTCCCCAGCCCTGGTTGGTTGTGCGGGTGGCAGCCACTCGATTGATGTTTCTCTCTCTCTCTGTTCCTGTCTCTCCCTCCTACTCTACCTGAACAAAAAAATGGAAAAATGTCCTCGGGTGAGGATAAAAACAAAAAACAAAACAAAACAAAAAATAAATAATCAGGAGCAGTCAGGGTGTTGCAGGTCCTGATTACGCAGAAACGTTAATCACGAATCATGCCATCTCCAATCATCATGTTCCAATCTGCCCTCCAAAAGTAGGAACAGGTAAGGATTATCCTACCTGACAATTGGTCTGTAAATTTTGCTGAAAACTGGTGGGTAATTTATTCCCACACTATCCTGTCTCCTTTTCCCAAATTGCTCTGGGACTCCCACCTTACTCTCTTGCCTACCAACACCTGGCCTTGTGTATCTTAGCATGGACAGCCTGGTCTCTGCTGCCTTGTTTCCAGTTAAGTGTTAAGCAGTCAGGTAACATGTTTTGGACACCTGACTTCTGGACAGTAGAACTCTGCTTGTACCCTTGAAAATGCATTCCGAGAGCCCGGATGGTGTGAGCATGGACCCATGCACCAAGAGTGGTTTAGCATGGACCCATGCACCAAGAGGTTGCTGGCTGGATGCCGGTCAGGACACATGCCCAGCTTGTGGGCTCAATCCCCAGTTAGGGGCATGCAGGAGGTGGCCAATTGGTCGATGTTTCTCTCTCTCTCCCTTCTCTCTAAAAATCATTAAGGAAAAAAAAAAAAGATTTAAAAAAATAGCATCCTCCTGAGTTTGCTGAGTGGAGGGAAGCATAATCCAAATCCAGGGCGCTTGAATTTAAGGACCAGCTAAGGCTTCTCTGCGGACCACCTCGCCCGGGGCAGACAGGCGCCGGGCGCCAAGTTGAGGGAGATAACCCGAAGTCTCACTTGTCGGCCCGTCCCTGCTGCGGAATGTGCCCTGCGGCGGAGGCAAGCTGGTTCCAGCGACGTGCACGACGACTTCCAGGTGGAACTGGAAGGTGGTGCAGTCGCCAGCTTTCTGCCTCCCGAAGCTTCCACAGCAAGAACAGGGGCAACAGGACTATCCTTTTGGCATCTCGGAGTCAGAGCCGCTGCAAGAGCCCCGCGCCACGGTCCTCACCCCCAGGTTCCCGAAGCGGGGGCACCACCCCCGTTCCACCGGGACTTCGCGCGGGGTCTCGGGAGTTGTAGTCCTGAGCAGAGCACGAGCCCCCGGGCCCGCGCGGCGCGGACTCCAGGTCCCGGCGGGCGGCGCGGCGCGGCCTAGGGCGAGGGCGTGGCCGTCGGCCCTTTAAACCTGCAGGGCCGCTCAGAGGGCCGCAGCCGGGGACGGCGCCGCGCGGGGGCTGGACACTTTGCGGCAGCAGCAGAGCGCTCCGAGGAGGTGCGTACTGGGTCCTTTATTTTCCAGGACCTTCCAGGGATCACCGGAGAAGGCTGTGCCCCGGGCCTGGGGACTCGCTGGCTGCGGTCTCCAGGTGTCCACGCGGACGGGGGCCGGGCTGGGCTTCCCGCTTGGTCCCGCCCTTTCCCGGGGCGCGGTGGTCGCGTGGTTGCCTGCGTGTGGCCGCCCCTCTACCGGAGCTGGGCTTTCTTTGGCTTGGCCCCGGGGCCGTCTAACTGCAGCCCTGGCTCCCAGCCCCGCGCCCTCAGGCGAGGGAGGGTGACTCCCTGTCCAGATGTTATAGCGCCGCCTAAGCCCCCGAGCAAGCCTGTGGCTTTTGGGTGGGATGCGGACGCCCCCGGTGGGTGCCAGAGGCTGACCACGTTATGGCGTGGGCACTTCGAGGCCCCGGCGGAATGACCACCTTCCTTTCCCACCCACTCCCTATGGCTTTGACCATTCACTGGACCCTGGACTTTGACCCCTCTCTCTCCACCAGGCCGGGGCAGTTGATGGTTTTGGCGAAGTGTCTTAAGGTAGCTGGGCCTGCCCCCTCTTCCCCACCTACCTCCTGTCATCCCTCCCACATCACTACCACCCTGGCTCCCCTCCCTCATGACCGCCTGGATCCTCCTTCCTGTCAGCTTATCAGCATTCTCCATCACTGGCCTATGGATTGTGTGAGTAAAGAGGAGGGGGGGAGACAACTAGGAGACAAAATGGGCCTGGGCTGAGGGATAGGACCCAACAGGAGCTTGATGGCACACACAAAGCCCCTTGTCCTGTGGCAGGCCCCAGGGTGATACCCAGAGTCACTCTGGCTGTCTCCAAAGCCTGGCCTGGTGCCTGGGCACACAGTCCCTTGGGACAAGCTGGCACCACTGCTGTCCAGCAAGGTGGCCCTGACAGACATACATCTAGCCAGGGCAGCTTCCAGAGGTCCTCTGGTTTGTGGCCATTGCTGTGGGTTCTGGTGTGGTGTCAGGCCTCAGGGCCACCCCAGCTTGAGTCCCTAGCAAGGACAATGAGGCTGAATGGGGCCAGAATCAAGGGAGAAGAGAATAGTCAGTGGGGGAAGGCTGGGTGGGTCATGGGGTGACTGTTCTGTTCCCACAGGTATGCCATGGCCGTGATGAACCGCCACGTGTGCCCTGTGGAGAACTGGTATGGCGCACTCTGCAGACAGCTTCATTCTAAAGCTCCCTTCATCTCTGTTCCCTCTTGGGCCGGGGCTGCTGCGAGCCAGACGGAGACCCTGGGCCTCACTGCTCTTCTCTGACATTGGCGCGCCTGCCCCTCCCCAGGCATGGCTTTGTGCCCACTTACCTGCTTTCCACCATCCCTTCGCCCCTTTGGCTTCTGTCTTAGGCGTACCCTGGGAAGTGGACTCTCCTGCCCCTAATAAGGAAGGTCTGGTAGGGTGGTCTCAGAGAGGCCTGATATACAAGCCAAGGGGTTAGGGGAACCCCTTTCCCTCAATCTACTCTGTCCTGCCTTTCAGGTCCTACAACGAGTCCTGTTCTCCTGACCCCACTGAGCAAGGGGGTCCCAAGACCTGCTGCACCCTGGACGATGTCCCCCTCATCAGGTAAGGCCTGGAAACTGAGCTGATCAGAGAGACCCAAGGCCCTGATAGACTCGTAGTCAAGCCCGTCAAGCAAAGGCCTGTCCCAAAGATCTCATAGGAATAATAATTATATTTCAAGCACTTAACAGTACTACTTGCCAGTTATTATGTACCAGGCATTGTACTGAACGCTTTACATGATGTCATTAATCCTCCCAGCATTGAGGCAGCTATTGTTTTCACTATTTTATAGGTAAGGAAACAAACTGAGTTATGTCGTCCATTTAAGTCATACAGCTAGTTAATGGAGATACCTGGATTTAAGCTCAAGCCCTCTGATTGCCCAGCCCAAGTTCTGGCTCAAGGAAAGCCAGACCAACTGCAGGCCTTGACAGTCTCAGAGAGTCCAAGGAGTCTCAGGGTCTGCCGAGCCATCCTGGGCACTCCCTAACCTGTCACACACCTGAGCTCTGCTTTTTTAAGGGGGGGGGGGGTCCAGTTGGGACCAGTTGTTTGTGAGAGACACTGGCCCTTCTCATAAATCAGTGGCTTAAATTGGGCACAGATAAAGCAAGAGAAGGCAAGTGGGCCAGAATGGGGTCCCTCTGGTGCTCCTGCCCCTCTCACTTTGTCCTTGCCCCCTCCCCTCAGCAAGTGCGGCACATATCCCCCAGAGAGTTGCCTCTTCAGCCTCATTGGCAACGTGGGTGCTTTCATGGGTGAGTTGTGCCCTTAGTCCCCCTTAGCCAGCCCAGTCCAGCCTACCCCCACACATCCGTCCCCCCCCAGAAGGGTCCAGGAAGCCCTTGCTCAACACAGCCCACTCAACCAAGGGCTAAAGCAAGAGGGGCCACTTCTCTCCCTGTTCCCTGAAGGCCAGAGGCTGACTCCCACACAACCATCCTGCTGGCTGGAGCTTGTTCACCACCTGCCCATCTATTCCCTTCTGGCCCTCAGAGTGTCTGGAGGGATGAGAGCTAGTGGGCTCTTGGGCAGGGCTGGGCCAGAGGAAGGCACTAATGCTGGCACCACCCATACTCTTCTTCCCCAGTGGCTCTGCTCTGCCTCCTGCTCTACGGACAGCTCCTGGAGCAGAGTCGGCATTCCTGGATTAACACCACAACACTCATCACAGGCTGCACCAACGCTGCAGGTCTTGTGGTGGTTGGGAACTTTCAGGTATACACCTACCCACCTCCTGAACGTCCCCGGAAAATGGCAAGGCTGTCTGAAGGGATCCTCAGTCTCCTGAGAGTTGATTGAGGCTGCAAGGGCAGCCCCTCAAGTTTGGGGGTGGAAAAGGAGGGCCTGGGAAAGGGGAAAAGAGAAGGGAGGAAGGGGGACAGAGAAGAGGGGTGAAGTGGGGCTATTTACTAATCAGCACCTCTCTCTGGGCCCAGGTGGATCATGCTAGGTCTCTGCATTACATCGGAGCTGGTGTGGCCTTCCCTGCCGGCTTGCTGTTTGTCTGCCTGCACTGTGTCCTCTCCTACCATGGAGCCACTGCCCCCCAGGACCTGGCTATGGCCTACCTGCGGATTGTGCTGGCAGCCATCGCCTTCGTCGTCCTGGTCCTCAGTATCCTTCCAGGATAGAGCAGCCAAGAACTCATCCTGTAGGCAGCCCTTCTCTCGCCCAAGATGGGGGGAGTATGGCACACCTTCCAGATCACACTGCCCTACGGTCTTCCACTCCCTCTCTTGGGAGGTCAGGCCCAGTAGTTTGTCCTAACATATTTACATGTCCGGGAAAGCAGGTGTGTCACCAGTCTCCCATGTACCCTACCGAACATTTCCTTAGCCCCGTTCCAGGCGGTGTCTTCTTCATCCATGAGAATTCTCAGCTGCAGCACGGGGCAGCTCTGTGTGAGTGGGTGTTTGTCATCGACATCCTCGTTTTCTATGGCACCTTCTGCTACGAGTTTGGGGCAGTCTCCTCAGAGACACTCGTGGCTGCACTGCAGCCTGCTGGCCGGGCCTGCAAGTCCTCTGGGAGCAGTAGCACCTCCACTCACCTCAACTGCGCCCCTGAGAGCATCGCCATGATCTGAGGTCTGGGGAGGGTGGCTAGCCCAGCCTCTACTCCTCCTCACCCCGTGTCTTCTTTGCATTTATTTTGTACCAAAAACAATTTTTGAGAGTATTCTTTTGGGATACAGGCTTCCTCGCTCTGGGAGGAGTGGCCATCCCGCATCCACCTGTGCCATAGAGGAGCGGGCCCTGGCAGCTGCCTGAGCTGTGCATGATCTGCTCCCCATTCTACAGTGTTATTTTTGTGTTTCAAGGTCACATATCCTCAGTCACCCAGCCAACCCTTCAGGTGCCTTTATTCCCCAGTGCTGAGGCCAGACCACTGGGGTTTCCTGCTGCAGGAATTGGGGGCTGGGAACAGCAAGAGGGATAGAAGTGGTGGGGGAGGGGGGTGAGTACACCTTAGTCTGTGGGAAGGCCCACCTTTGGGCCCACTGAACTACACTGGGATTCTTCACTCTGCCCATTACTCTCTTTAGGGCAAATAACACAGCCGAACCACGTGGGTATTTTAGTACTTTTTTTTATATATATCTATTAAAAGAATTCTAATTTGCATGTTTGTGGTCTGTTCTGGAGAGTCAGAGTTCCTGATTCAGGTCAGCTTTCCGTAGGCAAAGATGCCCCCAGGGAGGGTCCTGAGTGCCCTGTGCTCTTTGAGAGCAGGGCTGCCTCGAACAAAGGTACTAGCCAAATATTCCTCAACGGCTTGAAGCTCTTTTTGGGCTAAAGAACTGACTGGTCTGATTTTTTTTTTTAATATGTTTTTATTGTTTTTTTAGAGAGAGGAAGGGGAGAGAAATAGAAACATTTATCAGCTGCCTCCATAACCTTGCAACCTAGGCATGTGCCCTGACGGAATCAAACCAGGACTTCTCAGTCCATGGGACAATGTTCAATCCACTGAGCCACACCAGCTGGGCTGATGTGATCATTTCATACTTCCTTCCCCACTCAGAGTCTGGTTTAAAGTTTGATTCCTTAGTATAAGGGGGTGGGGTAGAGCCATGTAAAGAGTGGCTTTAAAATGTAGAAACAAAAAGAAAAAGCACCTGGAATTTCAAGGCTGGCTACAAATTACAGGGAGAAAGGGATGCATCTTTAAATATCAAATGGGTGCCAGATCATAACATAATGCTTTCCAGCCAAGAACTCATAGCTCCAAGCCCTGGCTGGTCCGGTGGCCAAGTTCTTGAACTGGGCTCCACTGCCCTCAGGCCAGCAAGCTTGGCAGGGAAGGATATGCAGCCTGGTGCCTTCTGCAGTCCAGGCCCACCTTCCCCAGTAGCAGTAGGGCCGTAGTGGAAGGCCCCTGCCCAGGCTTGTGAGCAATGCAGCTGCAGGGTGGGTAAAGAAACCTTTAATGAGGGTTTGAGGTGCCAGAGGAAGGCGTGGAGGACCGGTACTCAGCCCCAGCTGCCTCATGTGTACATGGCTCCATGCAGGTTCTCCAGCCGGTGCTTCTGCTGTTGCTTGCGAGCCTGGAGGAAAGAGGCAGGGGCCATATCTGAAGGCCTGTAGGAGAATGGATGGGGCAGGTATCGAGGAACTGGCTCACACTATTTCCAGGCTCCTGGCATCTACAGTGCCTCTCACCAAAGTTACTGGGAACAAAGCCAGAGCCAGGGACCTGAGGCCTACCCAGGTTTGCTGAGAGCATTGCAGACAGCCTGAGGAAGCCCCATTCCCACCCCTCCACTTATCACCAGCACCTACCTTATCTCGTCTATGCTCCTCATAAGTGTCATCATCAGTGGGCAGTTCGTGGCGGCAGAGGGGGCAGGAATTTGTCTGGGAAAAACAGGGTAGTTTTCCAGCCCAACCCTAACTAATATTCATCCCCTGCTCCCAGTTCTCACCCTGACCCTTCTCCGATTCCCCCAACAGCTCCTAAAAGAAAGGGGCTTGGGAAATGGGCAGGGTGAGCAGTACCTTGCTTAGCCAGGGCAGAATGCAGTTGGAATGGAAGAAGTGATGGCAAGGCATCTCAATGGCAGTCTCCTCCTCCTCAAATTCCAAAAGACACACTGGGCACTTGAGCTCTTTAGGAGGGAGTGCTGATCAGGAGAGCTGCTACAGGCCCCACCTCCCATCTCCCTCTGCTAAAGGGCATTTGCCCCAACCTGGCCTGGAAAACTGAAGGGCCAGTCCACAGTCTGGCAGACCTGCCCCAAAGAGCAGAAAGAATTCCTGTTCTCACCAGACTGAGAGCCCCTGATGACTGTCCTGGGAAGGTTTTCAACCACAGCCTTGGCAGCAGGTGGAGGCAGGTGGTGATCCCAATCTACTACCAGCCCCAAGTCTTCAAAGTCCATACTATTGAAAAGTGACCTGGGAAGAAGGACACAAGGTCAGGAAACCATACTTCCTCTTTGCCTCCACAATTGACTCAGCATCAATAGGTAAAAACTCTGTCCAGCTAATAGTAATAATAGACACCCCACTCAGTAGTGCTCACCAGGTTAAAAGTACAATGAGAAATGTTTTAACAGCTGCTATCACAACCCCAAGCACGCAGGCTATTTATTGCCATTTTACATGAGGCAACAGGCTGAGAAGTTACTCAGGCTACGCAGAAATGACCTGGTAAAGCCAGATTCCAGGAGACAGTGTTGGCGTGCTTGTTACTCCCAACCAATGTACCTACTCACATTTATTCGGCCCCTACCCCGCCCCCGAGGTTCGCCTTCTCCGGTACCATCTAAAGCCCGCTGCCCTCCGGCCACCGACTTCCCCTACTCCACTCAACTCAAGTCTTTCCCAGAATCCCCTCACGCGGGAGGCCCACGAGCGATCCAAATTATCTACTCCCCCTGGAATCTAGTCTCCGGACAACTCCGCGGATCAATCATCCGTCCTCCCCAGAATCTGCCGCCCTAAATAATCCGCCCTCTCCAGCCGGTCCCAACCAGACACCTGGTGCCTGGCGCCACCTCCCAGCCCCGCGCATCCACCTCGCGAGCTCCAGCAGCATGTTGGTTCGGGCCTCCTGGTCAGGGTCCGACGGCTCGCAGTCGTGCTCATCGAAGTAGGACGCCATGGCAGCCGACGGTCTGACACAGCAGCCTGGGACCCCGCGGACCGCAGCCTCGCAGCAATGGCCAATAAACTGGCGAGTTGATAAAAGATGGCCAATCATAGCATCCAAAAGGCGGACACTGTGGTTCATTCGATGCACAGAAAGCGGAAGTATTAATTTTATCACCTTTCATTGGCTTGCGTGAGTCACGTGACCAAAGACTAAAGCCAATGGCAGGGGCCGGGGCTGATCAGAAAACTTTTATTTTGTTGTCCGAGCCTAGGATAGGAACGTGGGAGTGAGGTATGGGCCGTGTGGGTGTCGCCCTGAAAAGCCGACTCTGTGGGGTGTAGGGTGTCCTCAGTTCGCTCTGCGGCTCAGAGGGTCCCGGCAATAGAGATGCTAAAGGTCTCCCAGAGGGGGAGGCGCTGGTCTGGGGGCTCGGGGTCTTACAGCCCAGGGGGAGACATCTTGGAATCGGCGCTTCCCGCAGCTCTGCTTTCTTCTGTGTTAGACACAAAAATAAAGGGTGGGGCAAACCTCCCCCATCAAAAGAGAGAGGATCTCTGCTGGAGAATCTGGGGCCTTACTGCTCCTGGGCCTATCAGCGTGACCTTAAGTCCATCGCTCAACTTCTCCTCTAGCTCCTGTAGAACTAGTGGCTGGAGTTAAATAAGTAGTTTGCTATGGATGCATGGAACAGAATAACATCTCAGTGGGTGGTGTGGACCAGAAGGGGCCACATGCTAACCTGACAAACTCAGGGAAGGCCTGCGTGGTGGCCTTGCAAACTCAAGAGACCTAAAGTAACCACAGAGGATGGTCTGAAATTGAAACCTTTTAACTGAAAGCAGTGTATGCAGGTAGTCATGTCCTAAGCTGGCATCTTCCTTGACCAAGATCAATCTTTATGTTCTCTGAGCCTGTCTATTGTATTTTTGCATCTACAATAACATATCTTTGGAATGTCAAAGTAAGTTTCCTTTTCCCAGACCCCTTACAGCACAGGCACTACTCTGCAGATACCCGAAATCCCCTCATTGTTATTAATTGTTGACTGTTAACTATCCTGTACACACCTATGTAAAAGATGTATGCATCTGACTTTTCATCCAATCCCAGGTTTCCCTGCTTTGCTTTTTCCTGCCTCTTTATCACCAGTGGATTTCATGTGACCCACTTGTGTCTTCTCTTTTGATTGTATCGTATAAAATAAGGTGCAAAACTGCCATTCCTGGAGCATTATCTTAATCCATTGAGATTTTGCTTCTCGATAGTTGTCAACAGTTTTGGCTCAAATAACTCACAAAAATTCTTTACAGGTTTGAATGTTTCTTACGTTAACAGAGGCAGGGGTGGGAGGTGGAGAGGACAGGAAGAGATTAACCAAAGAACATATATGCACACCATGGATACAGAAAACAGTATGGGGAAGGTCTGGGGTTGAGTTGGCTGGAGGAGGGCAAAAAGGGAGAAAATGGGATATATCTGTAATAATGTCAACAATAAAAAACAAAAAAGTAGTTTGCATCACTGGCTACTTGTGACTCTCCTCAAGAGAGGAGAAAAGGGGTTGCTGCTTCAGGGGGAAAAAATCTGATAACCCTTAAAGTTTCTGATTAAATTGATCTATGCCTGGGTGTGGTATTTTCATGAGTTCTACATGTGATTCTAACATGAGGCAGGGTTGAGTCCCACAGCACTAAATGATTTGGGTGATAGCTCCCATTTATTTAGCATCTAGAACCTTTGCATTTATGGATATGGGAGCTAAGTATCATTATCCCCTTTTACACACATAAAACCCATCAGGGAAGTGGTCTCCAAGTGAAGACCAAGTGTTCTCCATCTTTCCCAGGGAAAGGCAGATGGTAATGAGCCCACTAGGAGAGTTACCAGACAGGGACCCAGCTTGAGTGGGTCTGCCTTGGGCGGCCTGTAGTGTGTGGGTTCTTGACTTTGTGCAGGAAAGATTTCACAATGCAAGTCCAGGTGATTTCGAGAGTACGTTTATTAAAGCTGGGGGCAGTGAAACAAGAAAGGGCTTGGGGTGTAAGAAGCCACAGGAGAGAGCCTAGGCGGAGCTGCTATGGCTCCAGAAACATGGGAAAGAAGCGAGCCAGGGTGGGGCTGCTATCAGCTCAGCTCACTAGAGAGTCGGATAAAAGGGGGCCTTGGGACAGGTTCAGGGGGTTAGCCTGGGATGAGCTGCCCTGCCCACTGCTGCCCTGGTTGCAAGTCTCGTGGAGTCCCTTAGAGTTTAGAAGATGCACACCTGTGAGGGAAAGAGGGGAAAGGGAAAGGCAGGGGGTGTATTCCCAGGAGGGAGAGCACACCCTGGGTCCTAGGGTTTTAAAGGCCAGGAGTTTAGGGGAGGTCTTAGGCAAGGATCTCAATAGAATATTCCTCAGCTTTTGCAGGTGTATCCTTTCAGGGCCGGCGTGGTCTCAACTGATCAGTGAGCGGCAGAGCAGAGGGGTCATTTTCATTGAAGCTGATCCTGGAGTCACCCGCCTGGTTTTGCTGCTTTTCTGAGCCTGGAGCTGAAATACAGCTGAGGCCTAGATGTTACCTCTAGGGAGGAAAGGTCAGGGGTAGTCTCATCCGCATGGCCATCAATATGCCAGGAGAGGAAAGGCCACCTTGGGGGCAAGGTTCAGCATCAGCTTTGTCCATTGCTAGGCAGCTGGGCATTTCCACCCTGGTGACCTTTGGTATCTGGCTATAAATTGCTCTGCCAATTTGTTCCCATTCCACTTGCCAAGGAATTTCCCTAGCTTCTTATTATCCTGCCTCAGAAGTAATGAGCTCTGTGAGGGATCCACACAACTCTCGGTTTTTTTTGTTTCTCTTTGAGTAGCCTTCTCTCTACTTAGCTAGGAACTGCTTCTGTTACACATTGGGCCCTGAATTCCCACCCACACTTGAGCCTGAAATGCAGTTAAGTAGCCCAGGCATGGGTTACTCTGCTATCGAGGTCTGGGTAGGGCCTTCTTTTCTTCTTCCATGGCCTTGACCCAATGATCTTTCCTGTGGCCCTGAAGACACTGCCCACTTGGCCCTGTAGCTTTAAAAAGACCACATTCTTTCCTACAGGGCAAACGCCAGGTCATCCTGCACCCCCGAAACCCTTCCCATTTTCATTGCCACCTGCCTCATCTGTGATCTGAGGCAAAGCTTGAGGAAAAACATGGGCAGAGAAATTGGGGAGGAGGAAGTGTTCAGAGGACAAAATGTCTAGCCTCTTGCCTTTAGATATAAAAATTTCTGATGTGCCCTGGCCGGTTTGGCTCAGTGGTTGGAGTGTTGGCCTGCAGACCAGAGAGTCCCAGGTTCGGTTCCCGCTAGGGGCACGTACCAAAAAAAAAAAGAAAAAATCTCTGATGTGCTTTCCTCTTTGTCATCCCATCTAGAGTCCCATTGGTCCTCTGAGAATCCCCAAGATATCAGAATAGTAATAGATTTCATTCTCAGGGAAATAGGCTCAGAGGGCACCAGTTGAAGGGTCTGGTTTGGGGACCGTTGTGTCTTTACACCTGTGGTCCAGAAGGATCTGTCTGTGTTGGGTTGGATCAAGTAGGGAAATGAGAGGAAGGGACACTTCCCAAGGATGGAGTCCTTCGGGTGGTAGCCTTTCTAAGCGACCCAAGGGGTGGAAGCAGAGCAGAATGAACCAACCTGGAGACTTGCAAAGACACACACACACACACACACACACACACACACACCAGCTGTCAACCAAACAGCAGCTTTTAACCAAGCAGCAGCGTTTACTGAGCTCCAAGTGGGGCTGGCCTGGCATGACCAGTGCAGCAGGCTGCCCTCACGGGCTAGTCTGTGGCGTGATAAGAGATGCAAAGGTGCACATGTCAGGGCTGCCCTTAGGCGCTCACTGGGGTGGCTCAGATGGGAGCAAATGCCAAGGTTCTTCAGAGACCGAACCAGCCAGTGTGGCCATTCAGCCTCTCTTTGAGGCCCAAATGGGTCAGTCCCCAGGCCCCGAGGCAGCACCTGTGTCCTGGGCCTGTGGGGTGCTGCTGCCCTCACTGCTCTGTGGGAGGAAGATGACCAGCAACACAATCAGGATGATGAGCAGGCCACCGCCCACCACCAACCCCAAGTAGACACGCCAACGGATGTTCTCCCAGCGCTTCTTCTTGGCCAGGTTCTTGGTTGTCTTGTTGAAAGTTGAGCTCTGTAGATGCCCCCAGAGACAGAATGAGAGTTAGTGGTTGTCCAGAGCCCCAAAGCCAGCTCCTCCCAACCCTGCCCCAGCAAGGTGTAGTCTCCTCCTGCATCCTTTGTATCTGTATGTTCCCTTCCTTACATAGCCTGCCTGGGACCCTCCCAACCTGACTCCTGGTCTCAGACACTGGCGTAACCCTTGATTTGCAGCCCTTTGGGCTCACCCCCAGTTAACAATGCCAGTCTTCAATCTTTAGGGAGCTCTACAGCTTCAAACCAAGTCCTACCCATTGCATATCTAGGCTAGGGGTGCCTCAAGAAGCCCACAGGTCCCACACTGGCCCTCAGGTCCCACCAGGGGCCTGCAGACCCTGAGCACAGCCTAAGAGCTCCCTCTGAGGGCTCCTCCTAGCCTCTCCCTCCACCCTCCCTGCTTCCCCAGGCCTCACACCATGTCCAGGAGTTGGTCTGAACGCTGTTCCAGCTCCGCCAGTTTCCCATCACGCTCCAGGACCTTGTCAAAGTTGTTGAGCATGATTTCCGTCACCTCGTCCGCCTGCCGCTGGCACCGCTCCAACTCTTTCCCTGCCTGGGCACAAAGCCCAAGGTCAGAGCTGAATGAAGCCCCCACCTGGCCCTCATCTGGTCCTGAGATCTAGCAGTCTCCTTGTTCCGTGTGTGTGTGTGTGTGTGTGTGTGTGTGTGTGTGTGTGTTATGTATGGTAGGGGAAACAGCATCTTTCATGCAAGGACATAATATGTGTGGAGTGAAGGGCCAGCCTCCTGGGTGTATGTAGCTCACTTTGGTCTCACAGCCTCTCTTCTTGCCCATCAAGGCAGGTCCTAGGTCAGCCCTAGCTTCCAGCATCTCAGATTCCTCTAAGATGCCCCAGGATGGGATCTTCCAGGACCCCCAGCCCCACACACAAAGCAGACACTTTTCTCACCTGCTCTAGGATGGCCTCTAACCAATGCACACTGGTCCTATGGCTTCCTCCAGCAAAGAGGAAATCAAGCTACTTGGCTAGATGCCAGACAGAAAGATCCACCTCACAGAGCTAGAAATGTAATTTTGGACCATCATAGATCCAAGCCTCTGCCTAACCCACAGACACACACAAAAACACAAACTGAGATCAGATCTCCCTCCTCGGGCCTCTGACGGGTCAGGCCAGTTCTGCCTCCTGGCCTGACCTGCTCCCACATCAATGCTCAGAGTTGATTCCCTTTCTGCCTGGAATCGCAGCCTTCTTGGTCTCTGACCTCCAGCCTTCCAGCTAGCCAGGATCTTCACTGCTGTGCAACTCACACACATGAAATCAAGTCTTGGATCTCCCACGCTGGGCAGGGCCTTGCCCGACAAAAGTACCCAGCTCATTTCAGAGGAATGGGAGGGGAGATGCAGGGTTCAAGCTGGAGGGAGATTAGAGGATGGGGGAGAGGAAGAAAGCATGGGTCACAAACAAGAAAGGACCTGGGCCTTGGACACATGCAACTGAGAGAGACCCAGGGCAGGAGGTCCTGGGGAGAGCTGGAGGTCCAGGAGCAGATTCAGACACAGGTCAGGGAGATAAATATGAGAGGATTAACAAACCACAGAAATTCTTTATTCCCAGTCTAGTCCCCAACAGCCTATCCCTCTTCTCATCTCCTCCCCACAGAGCACTGGCCAAGCTCCCATTCCTGCCATACCATATTACCCATCATCTGCAACAGACACTTGGCACTTAACTGAATTCCACTTAAAACCACAGAAAGGTCCCAGCTGGTGTGGCTCAGTGATGGAGCGTCGACCCACGCACCAAGAGGTCACCAGTTTGATTCCCGGTCAGGGCACATGGCCAGGTTGTAGGCCAAATCCCCAGTGGGGGACATGTAGGAGGCGGCCAATTGATGTTCTCTCTCATCGATGTTTCTATCTCTCTCTCCCTCTCCCTTCCTCTCTTTCTAAAATCAATAAAGAAACAGAGAGAGAGAGAGAGAGAGAGAGAGAGAGAGAGAGAGAGAAAGGGGCCCTGGCCAGTGTGGCTCAGTTGGTTGGGCATCATCCTATGCACTGAAAGGTTGCCCACATTGAGGCCTGTAGGGCTGCTGCAGGAAGCAGCCAACTGATGTTTCACTCTCATGTTGATGTTTCTCTCTCTCTCTAAATATCATTTTTTAAAATCTTTTCATTTTTAAAAATTTATTTATTGAATTTAGAGAAACAGGAAGGGAGAAGAAGAGAGATAGAAACATCGATGAGAGAAAACATCAATTAGCCGCCTTCTTTATGCCTCCCACTGGGGGGTTTGGCCCACAACCTGGGCATGTGCCCTGACTGGCAATCAAACCAGCAACCTCTTGGTGCATGGGTTGATGCTCAACCACTGAGCCACACTGGCCAGGCTTTTTTTAAATCTTAAAACACACACACACAGAAAGGGAAGGGATCTGGTGATCACAGAGGGTCACCTACTCAGACAAGAGTCTGCATTCAGGATCCTTGCAGGTGCCTTGCACACAACCTCCAGGCATTCCCAGTTCATGAGTTCTACCTCCCCAACTGGGTCAAAAGCTCCCAGAGGGAGGGCAGGGCCCAGTGCCCTCCTTTAACTGCCTGAAATCAGGGCCCCAGGAGGCCAGCACAGTGCTGACTATTGCAAGGACTCAGTGAGGGGGTCAGTTTAGCCTGTCCAAAAGCAACTTATTTTCAAGAGCTGCTACCCCGTGTGTTTATCTAGCCCAGCAGGAGTTTCGAGAGGTAGCATCTGAAACCCAAGTAGGTCAATATTTGCTTATGAGCTAGAAAAGAAATATTTGCCTCAAGAGGAGACAGGAAAACCATGTTAGACGGGTATGTTCACAGGCCAGGGGAAGCAGTAACTGAGGAACAAGGAGGGATAACAGAGAGCAGGGAAGCTATACTCGTCTCTGCCTCTTCCTGAGTCAACCATCATCACCACTATTGTTACCACTAGATTATTCAACAAAGTTCTGTTACAACTAGATTATTCAACAAAGTTCCATTATCTGGAGTCTCTCACATTCAGATAGTCCAAGGCATCCGCACTTTCAAATTGTCCAAGGCAAAAACTTGGGAATGGACAAAGATTTGAAAATAAGAATCACTGCTAGAAATTGGTGAGACACTGGATATTATTTTTTCTACTCTGAAGACTTCAGCTGTTGTTATTCTCCAACATGGGGTGACATTGGGTCACATTCTCTAGGAGAGTTGGCTGTGCCTCCCATGGCAATCTGCAGCCTCTTCCCCCACTGCACACTAGTCACTCCAAGGAACACAGAGGCCTCGGACTCGAGTCTCCAGCCCTCCTTGGCCCCACTCAACTGAAGAACTACAGTCTGTGGAAGGAGGTAGCAACCTCAGGTCAAAGCCAAGCTGCCTGCTGCCCCATTGAATCCAGCCTAGTGCCTGGCCTGCAGAAGCCACGTGGAAAATATTTTCTGAATGAATTGTGCCTGTTCTTAAGAAGATCCCTAAAGGCTAAGGAAAAAGACAAATCTGATACAATTAGAGAAGAGTAAAGAGTTACACTGGGAGATACAAATAGTAATGTTGGAGCTGCCTGCAGAGGGTGACTCCTGAGACCTTGAAGGATGGGATAGAGCTGGGGCATTCTGGGCACAGAGAGACAGAGACACACTCAGGACAGTGAAGGACCAGGCAGAGGGTTAGGTTGAAGAGGCAGGTTAGACCAGAGAAAGCAGTAAAAGTCAAGCTGAGGCGCTGGCTGGGTAGCTCAGTTGGTTTAGAGCGTCATCCTGACATACCAAGGTTGCAGGTTCAATCCGGTCAGGGCACATACAAGAATCAACCAATGAATGCATAAATACAAAATAAATGAAACAACAAATGTCTCTCTCTCTCTCTCTTCATTAAAAATAAAGTAAAATAGCCCTGGCCGGTTTGGCTCAGCGGTTAGAGCATCGGCCTGTGGTCCAGAGAGACCCAGGTTTGGTTCCCACTAAGGGCACCTACCTCGGTTGCAGTCTGTCCTTGGCCCTGATTGGGTTGCATGAGGAGCAGCCACTCAATGTGTCCCTTTCATGTCGATGTTTCTCTCTCTCTCTCTCCCCCACTCTATCTGAACAAAAAATGGAAAAATGTCCTCGGGTGAGGATAAATAAATAAATAAATAAATAAATAAAAAAGAGGAAGCTCACTTGGAAGGAAGGACAGAACAAGAGCTAGTGTAGGTTTCTGAGCCAAGGGCAACACTGTAGAGGTGCTTCAGGACAATTCCTCTGTTGACGGTAGATTGGCAGGGCTGGAAGTGAGGACACTCAGAGCAGAGAGGCCGGCCAGATCGGGGGAGAAGTGCCATCAGCAAGGGTGTGCAATGTCTAGGAGGCTGTGGGGAGCAGAGAGTGTAGGGAGGGTGGGTGGGAGAGAGGCACTTCCAAGCCCTGCCAGGGGCCTGAAGGGCTGGAGGTTGTGAGCCAGGGGGAGAAGGGAGCAACATTATCGTTGGCAGACAGAGGGTGGTAGTTATACAGGAAATTGGTTTTTTTTTTATTTTTTTTTCTTTATTGATTTGAGAGAGAGAGGGAGAAAGAGAAAGAAACATTGATGAGAGAGAACATCGATTGGCTGCCTCCTGCATGCCCCCCACTGGGGATTGGCCCACAACCTGGGCATGTGCCCTGACCAGGAATCAAACTGGCGACCTCTTGGTGCATAGGTCGATGCTTAGCCACTGAGTTACACCAGCCAGATTACAGGTAATGTTCTTGACAGTTAATCTCTGTACAGAGTATCCCTCCTTTGATGCTCAAATGTCCCTTCTGGTTTTTCCAGGCCAAATGCCTTTGGTTCCTCTAAATACAAAGCTCTCAAAACTTCCCTGACTGAACTCTCCTGTCTCCTCTCTCTCTTGGTTAGTGCCTAAGAAACTCTTTTCTAGCTGTCATCGCTGTGGTCAGATGGACCTGGGCAGCGACCAGGTGTATCAGCTCCTTCCTAGAGCAGCACTCACCTGAGCTCAGAGACTAGGATCAGGACTCTCTGCATTGCAGCCCTGGGTTCCTTCAAACCCTGCCTCTGTCACTCACCAGCTGAGTACTGGCGACTGAGGACATGACCTTTCTTTTTTTAAAATTATTTATTTATTTATTTATTTATTTGTTTATTTATTTATTTTTAATCCTCACCCGAGGACATTTTTCAATATTTTGTTCAGATAGAGTGGGAGGGAGAGAGAGGAAGAGAGAGCGAGAAACATCGACGTGAAATGGACACATCGAGTGGTTGCCACCCGCACGACCCAACCAGGGCCGGGGACAAACTGCAACCCAGGTACACGCCCTTAGCAGGAACCGAACCCAAGTCTCTCTGGACCACAGGCTGACACTCTAACCACTGAGCAAAACTGGCCAGGGCGCATGACCTTTCTGACTTTCACTTCCTCATCTGTAAAGTGGTGAGAACAATAATATCTACCATAATGTTAGCTAAGACATGCGACACATTATAAATAAAGTGCACAGCACAATACCTGACATACTAGATGCTCAATAGATAATAGCTATTAGTTTTGATCTAGCCCAAGTTTCCCTAGCTTTTTCTTTTTTAGCAGTCAGATACTAAGAACTACACAATACTTGTGCTTAATCAAACCTTTTAGATATTTTTACAAAATATGCAGCCTAGCAAGCTCTTCCTTATGGTAAACTTGTGCCCTGAATTGTTTCTAACCTAAATACAGAACTTTACATGGGCCTTTGAGAACCTGCATCTAGATTATTTCCATCATGCACTATAGGCTGTTGAGGTTTTATATCTTGACAATAACAGCCACCATTCAATGGACACTAACTACTCTAAACTAAGCACTGTGCTGCTAGCTGTCTGTCCACTTTATCTCATTTAATCCTCACAACAATCCAGTGAGGTCAGTACTATTAACCTAGTTTTATGAAAACAAAACAAAACTGAGGCTCAGAGGGGTTAAATCACCCATCCAAGGTCACAGAGCCAGTGAGAAGAAGACGCGGGAGTCCAAGGATCACATTCTTAATATTTGTGCTAAACTGAATGCAGGCAAAGGGAGGCCAAATCTTTAGCTCTCTGGCTAAAGACTCACCAGGCCTTTTTTTTTTTTTTTTTTATCCTCACCCGAGGACATTTTTCCATTTTTTGTTCAGATAGAGCGGGAGGGAGAGAGAGGAAGAGAGAGAGAGAGAAACATCGACGTGAAGGGACACATCGAGTGGCTGCCACTCGCACAACCAACCAGGGCCGGGGACAAACTGCAACCAAGGTACGTGCCCTTAGCGGGAACTGAACCCGGGTCTCTCTGTACCGTAGGCCGACGCTCCAACCGCTGAGCCAAACCGGCCAGGGCTCACCAGGCCTTTTGATGCTGCCAACTTAACTTGTGTGCATATGAAGAAGGCCAAACCCAATTCTTTGGGCAGTACATGAGAGAGGACCATCTAAAAGATGAATGAATTCAAGTGATTACCCATTCAATTTCCATCTTTCCCATCACTATTCCTACTCTACCCCTGATATCCATCACCATGTCTAGCACAAAGGAAACACACAAGAAATATTTGATTGAACAAATTAGAGAAGAGGAGAAGAGAAGGGGAAGGAAGAGGAGCAGATAGGGAAGGGGGATGGGAAGAAGGAAGGAAAGCGTTGCGGTCAGAGAAAGGGACAGGAGTGAAAGAACAGAGGGATGGGGACAGGAGATGGATGGGGAGGAGAGATCGATGTATCCTTCCCAAGCTGGGATCTACTGTTTGCTCAAATGAACCTGCGAGAGTTCCAGACTTTCCCAGTTTCCCCCAATAAATTATCCTGCCTTCAGCCTTCATTTCAGGAGTTCTTCCTTCTCCCCAAATGCTAAGGGCCAGCTGCAAGCCCACCCCATCCCTGCCAGATCCCTTGCCCTGCACGCTGGGAAGTGGGCTCTGGACTCTGTCCCATTCTCAGAGCCTCCCTCAGTTTCCTGGCACAGCCTTACAGCTCAGGACGAACTTCCTGCCCAGCTTCCTGTTCCTGTCTCCAGATCCCTGGAGATGAGGCCATCCAGGCATGGTGACCGCTAGCCAGGCCCTTCCATCACACCTCTGAAAGCTTCTCTACAGCAGAATATATATATTTTTAAATATGTTTTTGTTGATTTTTAGAGAGAGGAAGAGAAAGAGAGATAGAAACATCAATGTGAGAGAGAAACATCGATTGGCTACCTCCTGCACATCCCCCACCGGGGACTGAGCCCACAACCCAGGCACGCGTCCCAACTGGGAAACGAACCAGGATCTCTCAGTCCATGGGATGGCGCTCAGTCCACTGAGTCGCACCGGCTGGGCTCTACGGCAGAATCTTAAAGCACCGAGCCTGCTTCTGTCTGGGCCCATCTTCCCAAGGGGAGAGAAGGACAGCAACTGGCACCACTTGTTCCTGACACCTTTCCCCTGGAGATGGCAAGTGAGGGCAGAGGACAGGATTTGCAGCCAGAGTGGTGGAGAGTGGCCGATGACTCAACTCAGGAATGTGTCCCCGAATAGAGGTTAGGAGGGAGTCAGGGCTATGCCATGCTCTGGTAACTTCAGTGGAACTTTTACAGCAAACATCCTTTTTCTTTCCTCCCCAACAACCTGCCATGAGAGGGCTCAATCTCCAACCACCCCCTCTACTCAGGTTTCCAATTCCCGAGCCAGGTTTGACTCCTTACAGCCCCAGGAAGGGCTGAAGAGGTCATCACATTACCTACCACTTGTCAGGAGTGGGTTCTGAGTGCCAGGTGGGTAGGTCTCTGCTATTCTATCTCCTTTAACTTCCCAGGGACCCAGCGAGGCAGGTATTGCTGACCTCACTTCAAGGATGAGGAAAAGGAGGCTCAGGGAGTTTAAGTGGCTTGCCCTGGGTCACAGAGCCGGTAAGAGGCTACCACCAGGATCTCAACCTGACTCTGAAGCCCGTGTTCATAACCACTTGACTCAGGAAATGGAAGCCAAGCCCCGCTCACTCTGCGCCGGGCAGCCTGGATGGGCTCACACCGCACGGTCCCTCCCTAGCTGCGAGGGCAGCGGAGGGTTTGGCCCAAGCCCCCTGCTCCTGGAGCAGTCGCCTCGCCGGACGCGCCCGCCCTCGGACAACTGTCTGGCACCCCTTTGCTCGCGCTCTGCCCCTCGCCCGGCCCACCCCGCCCGGCCGGGGCCCTCACCATTGCTGCAGCCGCTGCCTGGCCCGCTCCTTCTCCGAGTGGCCCGGGTGCCAGAGCCCGGGAGGAAGCCGAGGGGCGTGGCAGGGCGGGGGCAGAGGGGGGGCACCTTCCCCGCCAACTGCGACCAAGTGACTGAGTTCAAATTGAAAGTAGTCCGCTGTGGCGACCAGGGTCCTTAGGGCGCCTCCTTCAGGGCCTCCCGGACCCAGCTGCAGCTAACTCCCCAGCCTCCTGCGCTGCGGCTAAGCCTGAGCCGCCTGGAACCAGGTCTACACGCGGGCCACACCTGCGGGCCCAGTCTATGAACCGGGCACAGTGGAGTGGGCTCTGGAGCCAGACTCTGGGTTGCAGACTCTTGGACTGCATCCAAGATCAGGGAATCGGGCTTACCTGGAGAGGCATGATTCATTCATTCAACAGGGGACTGTAGGAGCACAGTTGTCAGGCACTGTGCTAGGCGCTGGCGACACCTTGAACAGCCAGGTGGGGTCTTGGCCACCTTGGTGAATGCATCTCACCCATAACCAAAGACAGATTCCCCCAAAGTTTTTTGTTTGTTTTATTGATTTATTTGAGAGAGATATTTGTTGTTCCACTTATTTAGGCATTCATCAGTTGATTTTTTTTTTAATTTTTTTTTCTTTATTGATTTTAGAGAGAGAGGGAGAGGGAGATAGAAACATCGATGAGAAAGAACATGGATTGGCTGCCTCCTGCATGGCCCCCACTGGGGATCCAGCCCACAGTCTGGGCATGTGCCCTGACCGGGAATCATCTTGGTGCATGGGTCGCCACTCAGTCACTGAGCCATACCAGCTGGACCATAGGTTGATTCTTTTTTTTTTATCCTCACCCGAGGACATTTTTCCATTTTTTATTCAGGTAGAGTGGGAGGAGAGAGAGGAACAGAGAGAGAGAGAGAAACATCGATGTGAAAGGGACACATCGAGTGGCTGCCACCCGCACAACCGACCAGGGCCGGGGACAAACTGCAACCGAGGTACGCGCCCTTAGCGGGAACCGAACCCGGGTCTCTCAGGACCGCAGGCCGACGCTCCAACCGCTGAGCCAAACTGGCCAGGGCGGTTGATTCTTGTATGTGACCTGACCAGGGATCAAATCCCCGCAACCTTGGCATATTGGAGCAATGCTCTAACCTACAGAGCTACCTGGTCAGGGCCAAAAGTTTTGAAACTAAAGAAAGTTTATTCACAATAAACATCGTGAATGCACTACCTGCCACTGAATTGTACATTTTCAAGTGGTCAATCGTATGTTATGTGAATTTCACCTCAATGAAAAAAGGAAGTAAACCATCATGGAGAAGGTGCCAGCTCCTGCTTTTCTGTATTTCCCAGGAGGGCACGTGCAGCCCTGCCCCGATATGACCCTGCTCCTCAGTCAGAGGATATGTGAAGCTGGTGATTTACTGCCTCTTGAGAGCCCTCCTGAGGTGAATCCTCTGGGGGAAAAGGGCCAAAGGCCAAATGCAAAAGGAGAAAACACCTCACAAGTGTGGAGATACTGAAGGGTCTTTATTGCCTACCAGCCACCATCAGTGCCCCACCACATGCTGGGCTCTCCCACCAACTCAGGACCTGTGAAACGCAGCCACAGTTCAGCTCTCTCCTTCCGGGGGATCAAGGTACTTCCTGGGGCAGACAGTGTGCAGAGGGGCCTCAGAGTGAGGGGCCAGAGGCTAAGCAGCATTCCCTGCGGGGAGGACGGCAGAGAGGAGCCCTCTTGACGCCCACCATGGAGGGATGTCTCGAAGAGGAGGGCAGGGTGGGAGGGGTTTCCTAAGAGGGGATGACACCAGAGGCGAAGAGCACGATGAAGAGGATGATGATGAAAACGACCACACAGATGAGGACAATCATCTTCACGTTCTTCCACCAGAACTTCCGAGCCACCTTCTGCGATGTTGTCTTGAAGTGCTCGGACTGCGGGGGATAAGGAGAGGGATTCAGTGCCTCTCCCCACTGGAACAGGAGGACAAACACAGGCCCACAGGCCAGAGATCTAAATATATAAGTGATAAGTTGAGGTGGCAGACTGTTAAGTAGGAAATGGCCTGTCCTCCTACCTTGACAAATATACCTTCATAACCACCTGGTGGGTCAAGTTTAAATTTCGAAATCTTGGTCTCCCCTTGACCACCTGCCTGCCCTCATCTTTTCTTACCTCTGCACTGTCATGTACATTGTGAGGATTTTACACATGCTCACACCCAGGGGTGTGACACTGGCAGCACAATCCACCCCGTGGGAGGGCAGACACTGGGGCCAAGGGGAACAGGGTCCAGGATGGCACACCCCCAGGTTCCATGATTCCTTGCCCCATGGGGACTGCTGCAGTTGGAGGAGGGGCCAGGGCAATATGGTGATTGGAAGTGAGGGAAAGTGTTTTCTCTCCAAACTGGAGTGGCAGAAACTAAGTTTTACTGGGACATCCTCCCTAGTATAGGCTGTGGAAAGAAGCACTAAGTCCCAGGGAGACAAAGGAGCTATGCCCAAGATTACACACAGGACTCAGAAAGCCACAACCAGTGTCTCCCCATGAATGAGAAAGTTGAGGCTCCAGCCTTTGTTGAACTTCAGAGTTACTTTCTTCCTGCACCTGGCTTTGGCCCCTGGCTGGAGAGAGAGAAGAATGATGTCTAGCAGGATGTGGGAGAGATATTATTCTAGCCTTCAGTGAGCAGAGGACTCCATCAAAGAATTTCACTGCTCTTCCCAGCTTCTTTTTAAAGCTGACTCAGCAAGATGCTAGCAGTTTTTCACCCCCTGCCTAATAGCTCCTGGAGAAGGCCAAAGGCCCTAGCAGGATTTTCCAAAGCTAATATTTTGCCCTGGGGAGGTCAGGTTAAAATGATTGTCAAGGGCAGCCTTCAAAGGGAAAATCAGCTTCATCAGAGAGAAGCCTGAGAATGCCTGGACTGCCCGGCCGGTGTGGCTCAGTGGTTGAGCATCGACCCCTGCACCAAGAGGTCACTGGTTTGATTCCCGGTCAGGGCACATGCCCAGGTTGTGGGCCCAATCCCCAGTTCAGGGCATGAAGGAGGCAGCCAATCGATGTTCTCTCTCATCGATGTTTCTATTTCTCTCTCTCTGTCTCTATGGCATGAAGAAGGTGGCCAATCGATGTTGTCTCTCATCAATGTTTCTCTCTCTCTCTCTCTCTGTTCCTCTGGCATGAAGGAGGCAGCCAATTGATGTTCTCTCTCATCGATGTTTCTCTCTCTCTCTCTCTCTCTCTGGCATGAAGGAGGCGGCCAATCGATGCTCTTTCTCCTCAATGTTTCTCTCTCTCTCTGGCATGAAGGAGGCAGCCAATCGATGTTCTCTCTCATTGATGTTTCTTTTTTTTTTTTTTTTTTTTTGTTCAGATAGAGTGGGAGAGAGAGAGAGGAAGAGAGAGAGAAACATCGACATGAAAGGGACACATCAAGTGGTTGCCACCCTCACGACCCATCCAGGGCGGGGGGGGGGGGTGGACTGCAACTGAGGTACATTTCCTCAGCGGGAACTGAACCCGGGTCTCTCTGGACCGCAGGCTGATGCTCTAACCGCTGAGCCAAACCAGCCAGGACTCAATGATGTTTCTATCTCTCTCTCTCTCAAATCAATAACAAAAAAATACTTTTTTTTTAAAAAAAAGAGCCCTGGCCGGTTTGGCTCAGTGGTTGGTTACAGCATCGGCCCGCGGTCCAGAGAGGCCCGGGTTCAGTTCCCCCTAAGGCCACGTACCTCAGTTGCAGTTCGTCCCTGGCCCCAGTTGGGGTCGTGTGGGTGGCAGCCAGTCGATGTGTCTCTCTCACATCGATGTTTCTCTCTCTCTTCTCCTTCCTCTCTCCCTCTCACTCTATCTAAAGATAAATGCAAATGTGTCCTTGGGTGAGGATAAAAATAAAGAATGCCTGGACTTACTGCACCATCACTCTGTCTCAGAAAATGCCTCTGTGGGTCAGCCCCCCCCCCCAAACCCAGTCATTGGACTTATTCCCTGGACCAGTACCAATCCTGGAGTAGAACAGGATCAGACTCAGCTTACATCAATCCCCAAAACAGGTGAAGAGGCAAACTTCCCTCCTATTCATTTTGCCCCCAACACCACCAACCCCCAAATTCCCAAAGATCGTCCTTCCTGTCTTCCTCTTGTCCCCAGTGGGCTCCCCATCTCACTGTGGCTTCCAGATCCTCTGTCTTGTTGCGAAGATGGTCCAAGTTTTCTCCTCGGGCCAGGATCCGCTCCACATTCTGGGTCATGATATTCTTGACTCCCTCCACCTCACTCTGCAGGTTCCGCACTCGATCATTTCCTCCACCTCCACTGGCCTCCTCCTGGGCAGCAGTACAGGGGTTAATTAAGCCGAATGGAAGAGGAACTGAACTGGGTATCAGAGGCCAGAGGAGGGGAAGATCTACGGTGGGCTTTAGCTTTTTGTAATGCTTGAACTGTTTACAAAGAAAATGTTTTCATGTACTACTCGTGTAATAAAAAATAAATGCATTTTTGCCGTGGCCAGTGTGGCTCTGATTAGAGCACTGGCCCGAGTACGAAGAGTCTCGGGTTCAATTTCCAGTCAAGGGCACGTACCTGGGTTGCAGGGCCAATCCCCTGCTCCAGCTGAAGTGTGTGCAGGAGGCAACCAATCGATGTGTCTTACGTTTCTTTCTTTCCTTCCTTCTCTTTCTTTCTCTCTTTCTCTCCCCACCTCCCTCCATCCATCCCTCCCTTCTATTCACTTTGAAAATCAATGGAAAAAATATCCGCGGGTGAGGATTAACCAGAAAAATAAATGCATTTTTGACCTGGCCAGTGTAGCTCAGTTGGGTACACGGAAAGGTTACCGGTAAACTGGGTCAGGGCACATGCCCAGGTTGCGGGTTGGGTCCCCCAGTCAGGGTGCATACAGGAGGCAACCAATCGATGTTTCTCTCTCTCTCCTTCTCCCTTCCTCTCTCTCTAAAATCAACTAAAAAATATATATTTTTTTAAATACATTTTTTTAAGCCCTTGATGCTAGACTAGATCAAACTTCTTTTCAAGCTCTCAGGGCCTCTGACGAAGAAAAGAAGCCACTGAATCTACTTCCGTGCTCCTCAAGGAGGGTCAGAGAAGACAGCTGAGCTGGCATCCCACAATGCAGAACCCCACCCTTTCCCAGGGCCCAGATCCCACAGGGTTCTCATTAAAAATGTCTGTGCTGGTCAGTTTGGCTCACTGAAGAGCCATGGGTTCAATTCCCGGTCAAGGGCACATACCTGGGTTGCAGGTTCAATGCCTGGTCCTGGTTGGGGTCGCATGGGAGGCAACCTATCGATGTGTCTCTCTCACATCGATGTTTCTCTCCCCACATCCCACTCTATCTTTAAATATATATATATCAATAGAAAAATATCCTCGGGAGAGGATTAACAACAACAACAACAACAAAAATGCCTGTGCTGGCTGGGAAAACACCCTCACTTGGCCAGCCCTCCCTCCCTCCCCCCAAGAAGGCAGCTGGAGAGCTGCTCCGGCACTGGCCCCTGTGACCTAGAGCACAGCAGCAGGCTCCACGTCCCTCCAAGGCCGCGTGAGAGAGAGCTGTTGGGCCACAAACTTCTGCTTCTCTTTCCCCACCCCCTCACCACCACCACTTCGTATCACGTGCAGGAACCAAGCCATCACCGGTTAAGCAGATATTACATTAAAACAGCAGCCTGGCCCTGGCCGCTTTGGCTCAGCGGTTAGAGCGTCGGCCCGCAGACCGGAGAGACCCGGGTTCGGTTCCCGCTAAGGGCACGTACTTCGGTTGCAGTTTGTCCCCGGCCCTGGTTGGTCGTGCGGGTGGCAGCCACTCCATGTGTCCCTTCACGTCGATGTTTCTCTCTCTCTCTCCCTTCCTCTCTCTCCCTCCCACTCTATCTGTACAAAAAATGGAAAAATATCCTCGGGTGAGGATAAAAAAAAAAAACAAAACAGCAGCCTGGGCGCTGGGGGAAATGAAGGGCAAGTCCTCTCAGCTTAATGCCTCACCCCCAGACTTCATGATAAGGTTTTTGAACCAGCTCCTCCCTTCCCGGGCCCACTCGATCTCCAGAAACAGGGCAGGGTATGGGGCCACAGTAGATTATCACAGAGAACCAACTTCTGGTTCTTTCACAAGCCCTGGTTCTCCCTCATTTTTATAGAGAGGGGGCCAATTCCCTGGACTTGGGTTTCTCTAGGATGAAGTGAAAAGCAGAGGGCAGAGCTCCTGCTGCTGGGCTGGAATGTGCGCTGGGAAAAGCAGAGGCGCTGCCCAGGAATGTCACACCACCTGCTGGGGAGGGGGACTGGAGGAAGAGATGGAGGCCCCTCCGGCAACTCCTTTCCCCACCCCCACCGAAGCTCGGCTCCAGGCCGGCACAGAAGTCTGGGAGTAAGGGAGTAGATAGAGAAGGGGCAGGAACACCAACTTGGGCAGCTCAGAACTATTTTGTCAAAAAGAGGTCACAGTCAGCGCAGGCTCAGCCCTCTAACTGGCCACCTACTCCCCTTTCCTGATCCCCAGCCCCCCCTAGCTTGTGTTTAAATCAGCCCCTTCCAAGTTTCCAGCTCACTCACCATGTCTCGGCAGCTCGGCCCGTCAGCAGCAGAACTCGCCTAGTCTGTTTCCTCTGCGGCAGCCCTGGGTTCACTTCCTGCTCCAACTTTCAGCCCGCCCCTCCCACCTGGCAGCAGGAGCTGCTTCGGCCACACCTCACCAGGTTCCCCCAGGTAGGCGGGCACCCTCCGCTGCCCTCCCAATCTCCTCCCAAACTAAGGCTCAGGCTTAAAGCAACAGGGCTCCCCAGCACCCAGAGTCTTCTAACTTGTCGAGAATTAGAAAAAGGAAGCAGCCCTCCCAGATTTCCTGGGGCTGGACCCCTGATATAGAAAGGGCAGCTGGCTTCTTTCTTTATATCCGAATATCTGACTCCAATTTTTAGAGACTGAAATCAGCTGTTTCTCCCTGCCAGGCCTAGTTCACATGGAAGCAGAAAGCAGATATGGACATTTCTTGCTGGACAACCCTTGTGCTCTTGTCCGTGGGTGGGCAGAAAGCACTGATCCCCCAAAGTCTGGAATGCCATGATCCTGGGCTCAGGTATCCGGAAGCTCTGGGTTACACACTGCGTGACCCAGAGGGAAGCTCTTCACCTCTCTGGATTTAGCAGGTGCTAAAACCGACCTTAGAGGGCGGTGGTGAGGAGTGGGAATGAAAAGGGGCCACATGCTAACCTGACAAACTCAGGGAAGGCCTGCGTGGGGTCCTTGCAAACTCAAAGATCTAAAGTAACCACAAAGGATGGTCTGAAATTAAAACCTCTTAACTAAAAGCAGTTTATGCAGGTAGTCATGTCCTAGGCCGGCATCTTCCCTGACAAAGGTTAATCTTTACCTTTACTGAGCCTGTCTATTTGCATCTGCAATAACATATCTTTGGAGTGTCAAAGTAATTTTCTTTTTTTCCAGACCCCTCACAGCACAGGCACTGCTCTGCAGAGACCACATTGTTACTGAGTTAATTGTTGACTGTTAACTATCCTGTACCCAGTTGTGTAAAAGATCTATGTGTCTATCAATTTGCGTTTCATCCAATCCCAGAGGTTTCCATACTTTGCTTTCTCCCCCCCCCCCCTAATCTATCACTGGTGGATTTCATGTAACCCACTGTGTCTGCTCTTTTGATTGTAATGTATAAAATCAGGTGCAAAACTACCATTCTCTGGAGCATTATTTCAATCCGTTGAGATTTTGCTTCCTGGAAATTGTCGACAGTTTGGCTCAAATAAACTCACAAAAATTTTCTATGGGCTTGAATGTTTCTTACGTTGATAGGAGTAAAAGGAGGTCACCTTCAATGTGCCCAGCACAGTGCCTGGAGCGGAAACTGTCTGCTGTGTGAATCAGAAATGGTGGTGCCCCAACCCCTCCTTTCCTTCCAGAGTTCAACAATCTCCTGCTTCCCTGCAGGGGCCACCACCACTGGGGTTGGTGAGCCCAGCCAGCAAAGGTGTGAGAACTGCCCTATGGACCAGAGAGGGGCCCAGGGCAAAGAATTCCTCCACCAACCTGGCTCCAGAGAAAGTCCACTCGTCCTGGATAGTATTTATCAAGACAGATGAGGTACAGGGGCATGCAGGAGAGAAACATTCCTGTCCCATCCAGGAAGTAACAGTTCCAAGGGGGAAATATCAGCTATTCTAATACATTTTAAAGGGTCTAATAAATTTTGGGCCTCTGTAGCATCTTGAGACACTTTATTCTAATTTATAATGAAATCTTATCATCAGTTAGATAAGATTGTTACATTTGGCAGACCTGAATTTTGACGAACAATACCAGCCTGGTTTCTCAGAGAATTTGGCTGCCCCCCTCCTCGCCATTCAAAGAAAGGCTACAGTGTGGCCAAGTAGAGGTGGATCAGAAATCTTGTCTACACTTGCACTGTCTGATACAATAGCCACTGGCTGTGGAGCACTTGAAACGTGGCTAGTCTGAATTGAGATGTGATGTAAGAAAATACACACTAGGTTTTCTAAGACCTATTATGAAAAAAGAACATAAATATCCCATTAGTAATTTCATATATTGATGACGTGTCAATTAATGTTTCGGATACATTGAGTTGAATAAAAAATATTGATAAAATTTATTTCACCTGATTCCATCTTCTTTTAATTTGACTAATAAAAATTAAATTACAGCCCTGGCCGGTTTGGCTCAGCCGTTAGAGCATCGGCCTGCCGTCCAGAGAGACCCGGGTTCGGTTCCCGCTAAGGGTATGTACCTTGGTTGCAGTTTGTCCCCGGCCCTGGTTGGGTCGTGCGGGTGGCAGCCACTCGATGTGTCCCTTTCACATCGATGTTTCTCTCTCTCTCTCTCCCTCCCGCTCTATCTGAACAAAAAAATGGAAAAATGTCCTCAGGTGAGGATAAAAAAAAAAAATTAAATTACAAATGGGCCTCAAATTATATTTCTATTAGACGTGTTAATCTATACCTTAATATTTAAAAAAAGAAATTTTTAAAATTGATTTTAGAGAAAGAGGAAGAGAGAGCTAGAAACATCCACGAGAGAGAACATCAATTGGCCGCCTCCTGCATGCCCCCCACTGGGGATCGGGCCCACAACCTGGGCATGTACCCCTGCCGGCCAACTGGGAATCAAACTAGCGACCTCTTAGTGCATCGGTCAATGCTCAACCACTGAGCAACACTGGCCGGGCTACCATCTCCTTTTATATCTTTGCTCAAGCAGACCTTTCTCATAAGTAAATGTCCTGGTTCACTCATAACTGCCCATGAAAAATCTATTCACATTTAAGACGTTGCTTCCATGAAGACTTCCAGATCTCCCCACTAAAGTTAACTTCTTCCTTCTGATTTTCATTATATTTTATCTTTTATAGAAAATAATGAATCTATGATATGCTTTGCTATTAATTGTGTACATGTTTGACTCCGAGTCGCTAAATTCTGTGAAGGCAGGGGCTGTCTTTACTTTGGTACCCCTTGTAGAAAATAACATATACCCTGCACATAGTAGAAACTCACTAAATATTTGGGGTATTGAATTGAGAGATCTGAAAGAGGGCTTTTTCTCCACAGTGCAGAAAGAAAGATAATTTTTTTTTTAACAGAAGGCCTTTTATTTATTTATTTTTTTATCCTCACCTGAGGACATTTTTTTCCATTTTTTGTTCAGATAGAGTGGGAGGGAGAGAGAGAGGGAGAGAGCAAGAGAAACATCGACGTGAAAGGGACTCGAGTGGCTGCCACCTGCACGATCAATCAGGGCCGGGGACAAACTGCAACCGAGGTACGTGCCCTTAGCGGGAACTGAACCCGGGTCTCTGGACTGCAGGCCGACAGTCTAACTACTGAGCCAAACTGGCCAGGGCAGAAAGATAATTTTTAATATATTTAATACTTTTCAATTACAGTTTACATTCAATATTATTTTCTATTAGTTTCAAATGTACAGCATAGTGGTTAGAATATCATGTACTTTACAGAGTGGTCCCCCCAATGTTTCAAGCACCCACCTGGCCCCATACATAGTTGTCATGATATTATTGACTATATTTCCTATGCTGTTAACTTACATCTCTGTGCCTATTCTGCAATTACCAAATTGTACTTAATTCCTTCACCTTTTTCATCCCCCCAACCACTCTCCCCTCTGACAACTGCCAGTGTACTTTTTGTATCTACAAGTATGTTTCTATTTTGTTCTTTTATTTTGTTTTGTAGATTTCACATGTAAGTGAAATCATATGGTATTTATCTTTCTCTGACTTATTTCACTTAATGTAATACTCTCTAGGTTCATCCATGCTTTCATAAAAGGTAAGATTTTGTTAATTTTTTATAGCCAAGTAGTATTCCATTTGTATATGCACCACAGCTTTTTTTTCTTAATCCTCACCCGCGTACATTTTCCCTTTTTTGTTCAGATGGAGTGGGAGGGAGAGAGAGGAATATATAGAGAGAAACATCGATGTGAAAGGGACACATCCAGTGGCTGCCTTCCGCACGACCGCAACCGGGGCCAGGGACAAATCACAACCAAGGTACATGCCCTTGATGGGTATTAAACCCGTGACTCATTGGTCCATGGACCAACACTCTAACCACTGAGCCAAACCAGCCAGGGTACCCATCTACTAATGGGTACCCAGGTCCATCTCTTGTCTATTGTAAATAATGCTGCAATGAAAATAGGGGTGCATATATATATTTTTTTTCCCTTTACTGATTTTAGAAAGAGAGGAAGTAAGAGGGAAAGAGAAATAGAAACATCGATGAGAGACAACACTGATTGGCCACTTCCTGCACGCCCGTCACTGGGGCTCACAACCTGGGCATCTGCCCTGACAGGGAATCGATCTGGCAACCTCTTGGTGCATGGGTTGATGCTCAACCACTAAGCCACACTGCCTAAACTGCATATATTCTTTTGAATTCATGTTTCAGGTTTCTTTGGATATATTCCCAGAAGTGGAATCACTCTGTCATAAGTCAATTCCATTTTTAATTTTTTTTGAGGAACGTCCACACTGTTTTCCTAATTGGTTGCCCAACAGTAAGATAATTTTTATTATTTTATTTTTTTTATCCTCACCCGAGGACATTTTTCCATATTTTGTTCAGATAGAGTAGGAGGGAGAGAGAGAGAGAGAGAAACATTGACATGAAAGGGACACATCGAGTGGTTGCCACCCACATGACCCAACCAGGGCCGGGGACAGACCGCAACCGAGGTACGTGCCCTTAGCGGGAACCGAACCCAGGTCTTTTCGAACCACAGGCTAATGCTCTAACCGCTGAGCCAAACCGGCCAGGGCAGAAGATAATTTTTATTAGAAGAGACCCATGAAGAAATGTCTTTTCGCCCTTTCACGTTGGTGTCCCTTTCACGTCGAAGTTTCTCTCTCTGTCTCTCTGTCTCTCTCTCTCTCTCTCTCCCTCTCTCTTTCTTCCTCTCTCTCCCTCCTGCTCTATCTGAACAAAAAATGAAAAAATGTCCTCGGGTGAGGATAAAAAAAAAAAAAGAAAGGTCTTTTCTAAATTTTGGACTACTTTGTAGATAAATGAATGCTAAATGCCATGGGTGTTTGTATATTGATCTTGAAAGGATAGACTGGAGATCAACCCCTTGAACAAAAACAAATTAAAATCATGGGATGAAAGGTGTTCATTTACTGGCTGTATTTTTCTTACCCAGAATGCTCTCAGTTCACCTAAGACCATTAATAACTTTTTAAACATACTTTATTTGATTTTTTT